TTTTATGATATAGAAACTTTACTTCCGGTGGAACCCAATTGGAATTTGTGGCTGACAGGAGTTTACAAAAGTATATACAAAATGCTGGCAAAAGTCTTTAAGACTTAAGGTTTGATTATAAATTTTATTCTTGGCTTAACTAAAGGTTTATGCATATAATTTTGAAATATTTGTATATTTTTTGAAGTGCACAGGATCTAGCTTTTGCTGTCTGTTTATCTCTGGTGTCGACGCCCATTGTGCAAGTGTACTTTGTGCCAAATTTACTGCAGCGCCAAAGTTTTCAGCAAAATTACGGCCATAAAGTAGCAGTCAGCAGAAGGTGGCCACCACAAACAGCAACGTGCCGTAATTAAAGGTATCCGCCTGAACATAATTTTACCAAAATTTCGCCCAACAAATGCTTATCAAAGGCAAAAACTCAAGCATTATATAAGTGACTGTTTTATGAACGCTTCACAGAACTACTTAAGGATTCCGGACAGCAAAGGTCAGCAAGAACACGAAAGATAACAAACGGGTGCCAGCCTACGTGATACCAGAGAATCAGGAAATCCTTCGCGTGGGTCACTAAATGCCAGCTAATCTGGTTTAAAAGTATATGCAAATTCCAATCAACGTTCCATTGATACTCAGTAACAGTCTGTGCATTCGCACTAGCCACGTGCTGTTGCCATCGATACAAGATACATAATGAAAAGTATCTGGATACGGAGTATTTGTATCTAAAATTAAGTGTTGTTTGCTGGAATATAGGTTGTGGTAATTTGGCTGAAGTTAACAAAAGCTCACTAATCAGTTCTCATTTTATAATATTTGTTGAAAGAACTACTGGATAAATGTCCAAGATCTCATGCTTTACTTAATGTACACTTTTTCTTAAAAATTTGTATTTAATAAAAGGATAAAAGAACAAGCTCTTCTATCACTACTGAGAGCCAATTGGCAATAACCACTTGCCCCTGGAACCTGACCCCTATACTGGCCACAGAAGATCTCTGGTCCATGGTCATGGCCAGTGTCCAATGTCCAATGTCGAAGGCATCTTTATGACAGCCGGCCAAGCCATAAAAAAGTGTTTCAGCAAATAAAGCAAAAGATGGCGAGGGGGATGGCATGGGATTTTTATACAATTTGCTGGTAACGAGCCATCAATATTGTATCTTTCTATGTTATCCTCGGGCGCTTTTATGGCACGGAAACGTCCATGTCTGACTGTGCATGTCGAAATTGGTAATTGTTTGGCCGGGTTGATTGTCACGCCATTTGGGTTGAGTTTTCAATTTAAGCCCCGCAGCGGTGTTGCGTAGGTGCGAGCACTTAACGTGGCTTAAAGGTGCGCAGGGTACACGCCCTACGCAAAAGCCGCATAATCATGGCACACAGCCCACATTAGATGGCGCGGCTCGAATAACCAAGCATATATAGAGGATGTCCTAGTCGAAGGATACTTAGCTTAGTTTCTTGTAAGATTTGTATTTTAAGTATATTTTTGAAAGATATTTGCTTGGTAAAATCTTGAATCAATCATTATTTTTAAAGCGAAATGATCATAAGTATCATAAATTAATAATTCCTAGTATCAATATATACTCCTGTTGCATTCTCCAACAATATACCCACCTCACCTACAAGTACTGGGTATCAAAAGTGTCAGCCAACAATATTTGAGTGGCGAAAAAGCCAGAGTGGCAATGTTGCGTATACGCAACGTAATCAATTTGAATGTATTTTTTCGGTTTAGCAGCCACTTTTGCGGCAAACGTGGTGAAATGCGATTACTGCACCTATAAATTAGGTGTCCTAATGAAAGCGGGAAGTATTGCGGTCTCAACATTCCGGCCAGTTTATTTCGCAGAAATCCTTGCGAAATCGGGACATTTTTGCGCATCAGTGGCTTCGCTGGCATTGGTTGCCGCCATTCGGTGGCGGCATTTGAATGGAAATTATTAAATTCGTTAGCGCTCATTTGGCTGAAAATGTATCTTTAATTGCTTTCCCGGAAGCGGAACCGTGGCGAAGCGAAAGGAAGCGCAACGAGCGGAGCCATGAAAAAGTTTTCTAACCGGAGGGAGGGGCGCTCACAAAAGGACACAAAACAGTTGACAATTCCCGTTCTCTGCTGGCACAGGGACTCAAATGTTCATATTGAATTAGTAAAATTGCAAGCACATTTCGTTGCGTTTCTATCTTTCGTTCGCTCTCTCTCTCGTCTTCTGCATTTTCCCGCACGAAATAAAATTAAACTAAAATGTTGAGCAAAAATTTAATTTGGCAAAAGTTTCGATTTCAATATATGCAAAAATAGTTTCTCTATCTTTAATTGAAGATGACATTTCAAGGATTTTTTGCATAACTTTTAAGAGGATTCATGTGGGGTTATCCATGTGTGATATAAATATTTTATTGTTTAATTAACAAATTACTTAACTTTGAAATTCCTTTGATATTATGCTTTAATTTAACTTTATAATTCTCTAAAAATGTAAAAGATTTAATCTCTATCAATTTTGCATTTAAACTAACAGACTGTTTGTTTCATCCGGCACTTTGATATTTTATTTACATACATCCTTTTGGCTAAACTCTTTTAAACAACTTTCCATAATCCTCCTAGACAAGACAGCTCACGTTGTCAAAAGCAGATAAAAGCAGCTTCAAGACTTTCTTGTTGTTTTTATACTTTAAACCTAGAGTGTATGGGTGTGTGGTGTAAGTAAATATTACACATACGCCATGTGTGACGACGACGAAAAATAAGATGTTGCCAGGAGAGTGGCTGTCGATAACTCAACGCGCGATACAATGGCGTTGAAAATCGGAAGATATGGCCTCATATCAGCTGGCAACCTTAAAAAATATTGATGCCGGCGAAAAAGGGTGAATTTTTTTTTGTCAGATAATTCTTTATGGAGAGTGGGATGATGACGTAGGTGTCTGTGTGTTCCTTCGCTTGGTCATTGTACTCCCTGGCTGGCCCATTTTTTAGCCTGGACCGCACAAATGCGACGTTATTATCATTGATGAAAGGACAGAGGCCGGCGAGCCGAATTTATGTTTATGATGCTTCTATGTGAATAAATTATGGCTTGCGCGTAATTTTTGCTCTTTTTTTTGGGGGGGGGTTCTTGGTATTGTCATCAATGTCGATGCCCCAAAAAAACCCATATATATATATATATATATTTATATATATGTGTTCCCGACAGCATGCTGCACATAACAAACTGTGAGTGTATTTCCCAAATACTCATTTCCGGCGCTGGCCTGAAAGTATGCAACAAGAATCCGTATGCGGCACTGTCATTAACAGGGGACATGTTCGTAAAAGGGGCGTGTCCTAAGCACTTACGATGTAACATCCTTTGGTACTTCATGCGAGAATACGGCTTTCTCTCCTTTTTTTTTGCCCCTTCATTACTTTCAGTACCTCATCCCCGTCGATGCGGTGAAGGACAAACCGGCAATTGGATTTGCCCCGCTTGCTCACTCCTTATCCTTGCACCCGGAAAAATTTGGTCTAGTATCAAGGATGTTTTCGTGAGTAGGGGGAAATATATATCAAGTCTTAAAGTATATTGTTTTATGTTTAATTTTTATAAACTCTTAAATATTTATTTGCTTTAAATAAATTTATGAAAAGATCTTATACCTCAGTGTATATGTTCCTTAACTTCCACTTCAATGGGTGTTCTTGCTCTTCGAACTCGCTCTTGCTCACGTTTTTTCCCAGTAATCTTGAATTTTAAAGCATATCCTGCGATTGGCTCCAATATCCCGACGACGCTCGGCATCGCTATAACTTTCAATAAGTGACATTTAGCGCTCGGGTGAACAAAAAGCATTTGCGTAATTAATTAAGTCATCTGCTGGGTTTTGTTTAGGGGGCCATATCTCGGTGTTCGTGTGCCACCGCTAAATGCAATTCCCGATTTACGCCCGGCTTACTCCGGCGACAGTTTGCGAGGCGAATGCTAAATGAGTGAAAACAAATTTTGTGGCACCCGGAGAGGAGCGGGCGGCAAACAATAAACACTTGCCACAAGTGTCTGGGAATGTGATGCTGGAAATTGCTGGAATTACTGGCATTTAAATGAAATCAACATTTATCAAGTCCAGGACATTAACTCATCGTCTGGCACACCACAAAAAAAAAAGAAGAAAATATCAAATTTCCTGGCGGAAACTCTTCATTAAAGCCTGCCATAAAGTATTTCTAGTAATTAACAAACTGGAAAGCCGTTTTCCTGGTCCGGGCCAAACTCAATCTCATTCAAGCACAGATATAAATAAATCCTTCCCCGAAAAGGACCCAAAAAAAACAAAAACAAAGTCTTGCAACCGAAGCACATTTTTTGGCAGGAACCCAGGCCCAAGCGTTGTTAATCAACTTTCTGCTGCGTGGTTTGGTAAAATTCAATTGCCTTCTTTTATTGTCGACGGCGTCATTTGGCGTTTATGTTGGACCTACGACTTATCCGAGTTGCGGCCAAACTTTTCTGGCGCTGACTCGGGTTACCGCCTACAAGTCGCTTATACTGGCTCCTTATTGATCGTGACCAGACATAAATTCATCATTATTTCGCCATCGCCAGTGACGTCAACAGATGAGACCAGATAAAAGACGAACAAAAAAGCAATTAGATTGAACGGCGCAATGACCATCGAGGGAGGATGACCACTTGGTTACACGCGAATCACTCTTCTTTAAACTTAAGTTTAATTTCAAGCATCGAAGATGTTTCATTCCTAATTTAATACTGGCCTTTGCTTCTCATAACAAAGTTATAAATCAAGAATAGATTAATTTACTTTAAACTTAGTTTTTCAAGTTAACAAATACACTTGGAAGCTGCCGTTTGAAACACACCTTAAATTCTAATTAACTTCACGTTTTATCCTGCAATAAAATACCAAGTAACCAGGAAACCAAGAAACCAACAAGCTTAAGAAACACTATCAAATTTCACAAGAATAAGAAGAAACCTTTTGGCTGACAATTCTCGGAATATACAAAAAATGGCTTTATTAAAAATTCATAAAATATATCAGACGCAAACCCCATTCTAGACCTTGACGCCGATTTCGCCTGGCGTAAAGACCTTGACATTGCGATCGTTGACCTTGTAGAGCACCTCCTTGCGCGTCTCCTCGCATGCATAGTTACCCTCGTCCAGTACCCGCTCGATCAGGAGCTTGCCATCCACCTCTCGGAACACGCCGCTCTTTAACCGCAACACCTGGATGCGCACCTGACCCAGCTTGGCCACATTATTGTCCGTCAATTGGTAGATATCGCTGTTGCTCAGCTTGGTGATGACCGTCAGATTGTCACGCTCCTTGGCAAGGGCGGCTAGATCCTGGCAGAACTGCTGGACCTGCAGCTTGCTGGCACCCAGATTGAACAATATGGACAGGTTGTCGATCAACACCGTATAGCTATTTCGACTGGCATAGTTGCTCTCCACCTGGACGCGAATATCCTCCACCAGCTGTTCGGTCAATGTCTGACCTTCGGGGCGGCGTAGCCACTTGGAGGTCAATCCCTCGCCGGCCATGTCGCTAAGAACATCGATTACGCCGAGCGTTTTGCCTTGGAAAATATTGGTATTATAACCCAACCTCATGCCGGCATTGAAATAATGATGATAGTGGTGCTGCAGGCAAACAAGTAGAGTTCCAGCATTGGAGATGCGCAGCCTCTGGCCCAGGATGCAGCTGATCAGGAAGCTGCCATCCACATTGGACTCCTCGCTGATGTGCACGAATCCCGGTAACTTTTGCTCATTGAGGCCACAGGCTAATAGCACTGAGGTGGCCATTGTTTCGACTACGCTTGGGGATCTGTAATTACGCAGAAAAAGAAAAGAACGGCCATGGGTCAATTTGTAAATGTCATCTGCGGGGTTCAATTAATTAAGTGCGCAGTATTTCGTTTATTTTCTTTATTTTTTTTTTTTTTGCGCGCGGCGGGTCACGTGGCCAGCCAAGCCGAAGAGGTTAAAAACACTCGACTTGACCGGGGCCAACAACTTGAAATTTATTGGCCAAAAATTGGTAAGGGGGAATAACTAAAAAGGGAATTTCCATCTTGTCACTTCATCATTGCTGTCAGCGGCATACGTGTCTTTGGAAACAAAGAGTATTCAGTTTGTAATAAATCAGGGGAAATTAATAAGGAACTAAATATAAAAATTTTAAGTTTAATGAAAGAACATTATTGTTTATATATAACCAAGGTATTTGTTCTCATTGAATTGAATTGTACTGCATTATAATGTTTATACTTTAAGTTTAGGTTTAAGTTTAAAGTAAAAAAAAAAATAAAAGAAAAAAAAAGTAATTTCTGGCCCATGAGGGGATCGAACCCGCGACCTTCGCGTTATTAGCACGACGCTCTAACCAGCTGAGCTAATGGGCCGATGTCTGAGGCGTTGGCAAAGGTCCACTTGAGGCGCAAAGCTCTTGGGAATCCCCTATTCTGAGACATGAGCTTTCTGTAAAAGCTTTCGGTGTTTATTTTTGAGGCACTCGAACCTCAATTGTTACGCTGCATCACAATAGTTCTATTCTAATGTATTTAATCAAAATTTAACACTTGGTCTAGAGTTGCTAAAAGGTGTTAATGGAGAGACATGGACTCGAAACGTGCTCGAAAATATTTAAATTAGTTTTAAGCATGATGTTAATAATAGCCGGTGGCAATATTTGCCCCTTCATTCTAGCGATAAGGTGTGCTGTGTGTTCTTATCAAGGCATTATCCCCCATATCTGGGCTTCGCTACACATTTTCCGCTCGTAAAGTATTTGCAATGCAGGCAAATAAAAACATTCTAATTAAACCTTGACTCCAAAGTGCATTACACACACGCTTAAGTGAAGAAATCAAGCCTTGAAACCACCAACTAATTAGGCATAAAACAAGCGTTCGATGGAAATGTCATTAATTAGAGGGGAAAATTAAGAGTGCTGTGATTAATGCCCTGTGCCTTGAACTTATTTTTGGGCCGGCACATGTCCCAATTTTCATGCAATTACATAAAAGTTATGGCATGGAAAACTGTGGTCACTTCCACAGGGCACATGGCACCTGGAAAGCTTAAAACTGTGAACCTGGCCGGAATGGAAAGTGAGATAAGTGAATGGGTATTCTATAAAGTCTGCAATTACACCGTATTCCATGTATGATTATGAGTTCTTGTGGAGGTATTATCATTGTATCACACACATACACAAAGCTAAGAGAGCGGTGTCAGTAAGAAACTCTCACCAGGTTGGTTTGTTGTTTATTGGTTGGGTTGACTCTCTTGGATCACTCTTGTCGCTCTCTTACTTTCTCTTCCGCCACTCTGTCACTCTCACAGTGTCGCTCTGCTGACCGCCAACCAGCGACTAACTAAACCGATCCCGATTCCCACACAGAGTCCCCAATCCCAGAGACTGTCCCAGTTCCAGACCCAGCAGCACCCCAGTGCCCGGCAGCAGCAGAGCACTTCCGACATGACCGCCTTGACCAAGCGATAAAAAGAGACCCGTGAGTCAAATCCAGAGCGCATGTGAACACTCAGAAAAATTTAATTAACCACTGTATAATTTAAAATTAGTTTTTGAGTTTAAAGAAATTTAAAAAGTATTTAAAACTAGTCTTCAAAAATTGTTTAATTAAAAATGCAAGTAGTTGCAACATTCAATAACTTTTAAAGCTAGCACTACTTCTCTACAAGAACGAAAACTATCAGAAATTGCAACATTTTACTCTTCGATTTTACCCAATTTGTTTTGCAGTGTAGGAGGGTCGGTACTATTGCCGGCAGTTGTGAGTTGTGTGGGATCTGGCGCGCTGTCGACGACGCCAGCGATCAGTCCGCTTTCGGTGCTCAGGCGTTTCGTTCGTTTCGTTTGCCTCCAGCAGCAGCAGCAGCTGCCCCTGACCAAACCCTCCTCCATTCCCAAAGCCCAGACCAGACCAGTTTGTGTGGACAGCGATGACGTGCTGAGGTCTCATATTCTCTCTGTCTCCCGCGCTCTCTCTCCCGGTGTGCCGAAAAAAATTATAAACTTATTAAATAGTTTTCTTCGCGGAAATCAGACAACCGAAAAAGCACCAGGAAAAAAATACAGAGTGACAGCGTTTCTTGATTCAAGGTAAATACATATGCCATCAGCTGTGGCCGCTCCTCCTCCTCCTCTGATTCTCTCTCCGACACCGCCTTCTCTGATTCAATTGCAGTTTAGCAATTGCAGTGTCAGTTTATTATTCAATTTGCAAGGCAAACATGCGGCTTCAAAATGGGCAAACACACACAAAGTTGAGAGATAATGTCTGAGTCGATTATCACGCGATGTGTCTATGCCAGAGATCACCCCGAGACATGAATAAAATCTGCCCAGAAATCAGCTGTTTATAAGTGGTAAAATCCATTATCAGCTTTGCTCTTTTTTGGGGGCTCGATTATGAAAGGAAAACAACTTTTTTATATGGCAGCTGATCATGTGATATTCGTTATTAATTCGACTTTGACCACCGGCCACTCATTTTTAAATTCAGATAAAATTCAACCAAAAAAAAATTGAGAATAAAACAAAACAAAAAAAAGAAAGCAGTTTGGCAGAAAATCTTCTGCCTTGCTTTCTGCATATAATTTATGAAGCAATCGACGCACGTGGCGGTTCCCAAACAAAAATAGTAATTGAATAAATAAATAAAAGCGGGGCGGGCAGGAAAAACAGAAACGGAAAACACATGCTAGCAATAATGTTGTGTACCGGGATTTCGATCGATGGTAAATATGTTATCTTTCTATAAATATGACCCGGTAACTAGGGTCCAAAGCTGATAAGGCCGGAAGAACAGCCACCCCCTCTATAAAGATTTTGTTTTCCCAAAGGTCTCAGCTGTATAAATGGCAACAAAACAATCTTTGTGTTAAGTAATTCGAGAGATATCGATACCAAGTGTTCACAATTATTACCGAAGGCAATTGCGCCCTTGAATTTGGCTGTAAAACGAGTCCACTGTACACTTGATAATTGTGTTGATTCAAGGAGAGAACACTCTTCCTTTTAAAGAAATATAAAATAGCACTTAAACTTCCTCGCTGATTTCAGGAAGATATTTTCAGAAATATAGAATTGGTAGAGCGTCTTTTTTAAATTTTTACATTATTTTAAGTCAGCAACTCGTTACAAATTTATAGATAGATAAATATGGAGATTTATATAGATATAGAATAACTTTAAATATTGATTTTATTTGACAGGGGCACTAAATCACAAACCTTGCAGGGTATTATAATTTCAGTCATAAGCATGAAACTCAGTGAAGGAGTCATTTCCGACCTTTTAAATCATATATATTTTTGACCAGCATTAACAGCCGAAGCGATCTAGCCATGTCCGGTAGAAAACAAATTTTAACTAATTTTTTCAAAATTTTATAAGGGGTAACATCGTTAAAATTATCAAAAATTGAAAAAAACAAAAAAAAATGTAATCTTACATTTTTAACTTGGTATGCAGATTCGTTAGTCTAATAAAAATTAGCACAACAATGTTTTCCGATTGAAAATTTATGCATTTTTGAGTAAACTATGATGGATTTTATCAGCAAGGGTTCCCCCTTTGGTTTCCCAAAGTTAGCTTCCTTTAGATAAGTCAACGTTAAATAAAAGCATTGACATTTTTAACTTTTCTATGTGTTATTCCAATATACTACCTAGAGAGCTGGTAAAACAAGAACAAAAAAAAATGATTACACATTTCATAAACTATTCGCTAATCTCTCCCCTCCAACATAGGGTATACACAACAGATAGCTAAACATTTGCAGCTCTCACATTCCAATTGTTGTTGTTATTCTGATGGCCCAAATTCCTCGGCGGTTATCTCATGCATCATTTAAAAACCATTACCAATCGACTGGCAATTATAAACAAATACAAAATACGCAAACCGAGATGTAAACACAGAAATGCGAGACGCATCACAAAAAAAAACCTCTCAGATAGCTGGAAAAGACGCTGGCCGGCAACAATGTTGGTGACTTGTTGCGCAAGCTCGCGGGGTTTAAATTATCGCGCCAATTACTCACTCGGATATGTGGATCTCGGAAGATTTTCACTGGCAGGCACTTTTTCACTTTATCGGTATAGTTTACGAAACAAATATAAAAATTTGACATGAAATGAAAAACATGTTGTAGGTAGGATTTAGTGTGACCACAAAATTGATGCGATCAGCTGTTTGGCCGAGCTATCAGCACGCTGAATAGTGCTGTTAGGCGCAGGGCGAACAATTTTAGCAGAATGTAACGGCTGAATGAGCCTTGAGCGTAGAAAAAGGGATTGTTTATATTTTACTTAATTTATTAATTATGATCTTATTAAATTAAATTAAATACATATAGATTACAAACTAACCATTCCTGTAGTTTCTATATCTTGATAACTATGAAGATATTTGGGTGAATTTTGCTATTTTCACTATTTTCTATTTTCGCTTAATTTTCCAATCAGTAGGATATGGAATATAAATAAAAAAATCATTTTATTTATTTACATTTCAAATGTTACATTTCCATATTACCCACAATAACCCCTCGGAAATTTATGTACCTACCCCCAAGATAACAGTTACCATCATTGAACAGTCCAAAAGCTTCTTGGGGAGAGCTTTGGCGCAAACGCTCAGCTGTTTCCAGTGCGTCCTTAAATTCCTTCAGTTCCTTATCATTCCACCGACATGACATAACGCCGCCCACTGAAAATGCCGCCTCTTTCTTAACGTTGAACCACCTTTTTTATACATATAAAAATAGGTAACAGAAGAGTTTCCAACTAATCGGTTAACTAACGATTTATTTCTACCACTTTTCAGGTAAGAGTTCGAAACAGCCGAGATGGTCAATCAGCAGCGGAAATCGAGGTGGTACTTTGGCGGGCTGGGCAGTGTAGGCGCCGCCATTGTTACCCATCCACTGGATCTCATCAAGGTTACGCTGCAGACGCAACAGGGCAAGCTGTCGGTGTTCCAGCTCCTCCCGAAGATTGCCAGAGAACAGGGCGTGCTCGCTTTCTACAATGGCCTCTCCGCCTCGATGCTTCGCCAGATGACGTACTCCACCACCCGCTTCGGTGTCTACGAGGTGGGGAAGGAGCACGTTAACACAAACACCTTTGCTGGCAAGGTGACCCTAGCCGGACTATCTGGACTTGTTGGAGGCATTGTGGGCACTCCGGCGGACATGGTCAACGTGCGGATGCAGAACGATGTCAAGCTGCCCGTGGAGCAGCGTCGCAAGTAGGTCTCCCTATGAAACTTTTAAAGAATGTAAAGATACAGAGAATTGTTAATTATATCTTAGTATCTAACAGATTGTTGATATTGAAAGACCACTAATTCTCCGTTTCTCTCTTTGTAGCTACAAGAACGCCGTAGACGGCCTCATAAAGGTATATCGCTTGGAGGGATTCTCGCGACTCTTTTCTGGCGTCACCACAGCGACGGCCCGTGGCTGCATGATGACCATCGGCCAGATTGCCTTCTACGATCAGACAAAGATCTATCTACTGTCCACGCCCTACTTCAAGGACAACCTGGTGACGCACTTTACCGCTTCTTTAGTGGCCGGTACGATAGCCACCACGCTGACCCAGCCGCTGGACGTGCTTAAGACGCGATCAATGAATGCCAAGCCCGGAGAGTACAATGGTCTGTGGGATATCGTTAAGCACACAGCAAAGTTGGGCCCGCTTGGATTCTTTAAGGGCTATATTCCGGCATTTGTACGTCTGGGACCGCACACGATCATCACGTTCGTGTTCCTCGAGCAGCTGCGACTCAACTTTGGCTACATTGAGAGATAGCCGGGATGAAGTTGGAGTCCGTGACTAGGCAATAATTCTCACCCATGGTTGGCTGACAGGATTCCCTTTGAGCAATGGTAACATTCCAGCTGCAATTTGTTCACTACAACACATAGCTTAGCTTTAGCCAGTTCAAGTTGTTAACTTTTATGCTTTTATTGTTGCGAAATACTTATAGATATATGTACCTGGCCGGCATTTAAGAGTTTCATGCCCACTGCATAGGGACATACTATTATTTGATGATATTGTTCGCTAAAGGATCATAGGCATTTATACATATTGTATTTTAAGACTAAAGTACTTGTATCAAAATCCGTCGAATGTTCATTGAGTGTAGAATTGCTTTATAAATTAGATTTGCTTAAAATTTCTTAAATTGTAAATTTGTATAACTGGCCAGAACAAACTTCTTAAATAAGTTGAAAGATATCTAAATTTTTTATATTACTTTAATATCTACCCTCTTTAATGGGGTCATGAATGATTTTGGTTGCGCTTGATCGTACTTCGTCGTCATTGCCGTGCTGTTAGCAATTAACTTTAATTATTTACCAATTGGTGAGCATTTGCTTGTTGTTGCTTAATGTGTTAAGACTGCCATGCAATAATTGAATAAAACAAACCAAAATGAATAGCATTTAGATATCATTTACACTGTATCTGGGGACACCCCCGATTAAATGCATTTGCGAGACAAGCCGCAATTTGATCTGCTGACAATCCCCACTAGCTATCGCTATAAAGCCGCAACAACCAATGATCAAGCATCAGAAATGGCTTCCTCTTCGTTCAGGCACCTGGTGGTGCTGGCAATTGTCCTGCTTTCCCTTAGTCCTATTGATGTTCAAGCGGAAAGGAAGCTTCGACTATACAAGCTGGAGAAACCGATCGAGAAGAAACAGGATTTGCAATGCCATCTGCGTATCGCGGAGTTTGAGGAGAATGTGTTGAAAGTTAGCGGAGAAATGAAACAGCATGTGACGATGGACAACGACTGGAAGGTAAGAGAAAGAAAATGCTGAATATATGACTATTATTAAACATGCCAAACCTATTACAGGTACACATTACCGTCTCACGAGCTCCCGGACCTGATGAGGAGTTCGAGGAAGTCCTCGACTTGGACGACCTGGGAGTTTGCGACCTCATGAAGTCCTACTACAAAGAGTTCTTCTACGAGCGCCTCAAAGAGTACTCGAATGCTCCGCATCCTAGCACCTGTCCTCTGCCGCCGGATCACTACCAGCTAGAGGACTTCCCACTGGACGTGCATCTGTTAAAGAAGCTTCTATTACCAGGATACTACCGTATTGTTTCTAGACTTCTACACGACGAGCACATCAAGCTGGAATATATGGCCGAGCTGGAAATAATGGAATAATCATTTCATAAATGTATATTATTCGTGAATCGTCTATGTTCAAATTTCAGACTGGGCTATTACAGAATAGAGTCTCGTATTAATGACGTCCTTATGACCAAAGTTAAATTCTACATCTGATCCGTTACGAATAAAGGTGCTCTTGTCTCTGTTATATGTTCATTTTATTACGGTTGTGTGAATAGATCTATTCGTAATACTCCATCTGCTTCAGGACCTCATCGTACACGTACTTGCGGGCCTCAGTGCCCCAGATAAAGTCCAGATGAGCCCACTTCTCGAAGGGCACCAAGTAATCCAGAGCCATGTTGGGCAGCTCATCCCTCAACTTGCGGACATCGCTCACATCACACATCCAGTCATTCGCTCCGTAATACAATAGAACCGGGGCCTTGGCGTTCTTTAGCTTGTAATCCGGAGGGAAGTAGCTGCCGTACTCGAAGGGATTGCGAATGGCGGTGTAATCGAACTTGCGGAACTTGCCAGAGTTGTACTCCTGACAGAAGTGCAGATTCTGGTTAACAGAAGCACCAGCCGGCGAGGTGGCCTTGATGTGTTCCAAAAGGTCCTGAAACAAGGAAATAGACGTGTTAACTGTATGCTGATATCAGTTTTATTTTAATCTACTCACATAGTCCAGTTGCTCGGAATCGTATCCTCCAATCAGGAAGATCTCGTTGGCGCACATATCGGCATAGGGAGACGTAGCCTGGCACATCTCGATGCCCATGTCCTGCTTAAACTTGTTGCTGGGCATGAACTCCATAGATCCGCACAACTCGACGATGGCATTAGGCTGACCCAGGATGGGGGCAAAGGCACGGGTCATGGGGCTCTTCATGTTGCCCATGTAGGCGGCAGGTCCCAGGAGATGGGCCGACTTGATCTTGTCATTGTACTCGGGCCTCTCAGACACCATCACCAGATAGACAGTGGTGCCCTGCGAGTGACCCACATACTGAAGCTTCTCCTGACCAGTCTCCTTCAAAACATAATCAATCATGGCTGGGACATCATAAATGCCGATCTCGTTCCAGCTGAAGTTCCAGAAGATTTGCCAGAAAGTGGGCCAGAACTGATGGGCCTTGGAGTAGGTGTTGCCTCGAGCATTGCCCATCCAGACATCGTAGCCAGCGTCGGCCAGTTGGTAGGCCAGGGACCTCTCCGGGCCCATGAGCACCCAGTCGGAGGAAGAGCTAAGCATTCCGTGCATGAGGAAGGCCACCGGGCGGTTTTCACTATAGCCGGTTTTGGGGGAATATGGAATGCGGTGCATTGTCAGGATATAACTGTCACTGGTGACGACCTTATGACGCTCCATGGGATAGCCATCATCCTCGATACGCTCACCCTGGAAAGATTATTAGTTTTTATCCTAGATATATGTATATTTGTAGTTCTTACGCAATCCGAGATGGGCCTTTTGCCGGCCAAAACCAGGCCCAAACCGACCCATAATATGGCTACTTTTAGCGTTACTCCTCTCATCGCAAAACTGTGGTCTGAACGGTTAGGACTTGAGGCTTTTATAGCGTCCTCTTGACCACTATCTGTAGGGGTGATAATAGCAATCAGATTTATTGGCTTGTGCGGTCACAACCCCCCAAGAAATCAGGGAAATATATAGAAGAGATAGATACGCATGTGCCTAATCAGCTTCTTGTTCAGATTGATATCGCGGGATTCTAATTTACAATCTAAAAAAAGAAACGCGAGACCCCCTAACTAGTCTGCTGATTTCATTATCTTTTCCAATTATTTTGATACCCAGTTTTTGAAAGGACTAAAAGGGTATATTATTTTAAAATCATACTATGGAAATTTTGTCAATAAAACCAATAGTAAGAAATTTAAGAAAGGTTGATTAACTTTTATAGATTTAATTATAGCTTACTTTTATTATATTTATATATTTTTCTTTGCAACAATATTATAATAACTTCAAATTGTATAATTAGTTTCATTAGTGAATCTGGTTTAGTAAGCTAAAATATTTAATTTATCAAAACCAATCAATATCATATGATAATAAGCTTTCTTAAGAAATTTAACGCCTTAACTAAGGGTATACCGCAGTGTATTCCTATTAATTAGCCATATCATTATTACCTATATTTTTCAAATACGTTAAAATCATTTAGAAGATAACTGTTAAAAATAGAAAATGCGATAGCAAAATGAAAACAAAACCGTCTGAAAAAAATGGCTGACTTCACATGCTAGCAGCAGCAACATGTTGCAGCAACATCGCATTAAGTTCCCCGTGTTGGTTTACCTGTCTGTCCAGAGGTCAGCTCCTTGTTAAAGTCGGGTCATCAAATCAGGACAAATGGATTATTGATTTATAACCACCATATGTGATTGTCGCCTGGTCTTTAATACACGTATCCCATGGTTCTGCTGCCCCTGGCGACGTGGCCACAACATTGCCAAGGTTCCGACCGCGGAGATGTGGCCCTGTCGTAATGGACACACATGACAGTTGAGGTTTTAATTTAGTCACGAAAGGAGGCAAGAGATATTAACAGAATACCCAAAATGAAGCACCAACAAGTTTTGGTGGACTATTGGACCATGATTAAGACATCTGGGCTGTGTTTGCTGCTGGCCCTTTGCGGATTTATACTGCTTAAGTAAGGATATTTAGCTATTTTGTATTAAATATATCACAAATTCAAGAAATGAAATTTGGATTTAAAAATGATACACAACATTATTATTTCATAATTTGTCTGTGCTTTGCTTCTAACTTAAAATCGTTTAAACTTAAATAAACACATTGTTTTCTGGTACAAATATCTTTGCGGAGACCCTAAAATCTATATATAAAAATGAAACCATAAACTAAAATTTCATATAAAGTAAATATTATTCAAGTTATAACAAATTAGGCATTCTATGTGAGTTAATAAGGAGTTTACATTAAACTCAAAGTGTTAAATTCAAACAAGAACCTGTAACATAATAAAATATTCCCCTCTCCGTTTCTTTTTCAGAATGGTTCAGACTATATTCTGGCTACCCGGACACCTAAAGAAAAATCAACAACGTCTAGAGGAGCTGGCCAAGCAGTATGCCAAGGATATACCCGATGACGAACGGGCCGAGATTGAGAAACTTTTCAATAGCAAGGAACCTCTGACAGATGAACGCCTGAACCAGCTGCTGGACAGCTCAGAGAAGAAGTCGGAGCCCAAAAAGGAGCTGTAGAGTTAAATAACAAATAAATGAACACATATTTTATTTAATTTATATTAATAGTTATATTTATATATATATATGTGTATGTATATTGAGTGTATAATCGATAATTCTTGATACAGGTTCTAATTCTTATATGCATCTCGTTTATGTAACTCGCAACGCAATCAATCATTTAACCAATCCATCAATAATGCATGCAATGCTCAATTATTCGGGGGAGAACATATTTGTATATAGAAGTAATAACTATTTACGACTGAGTACGCTCGTCCATGGAGCGGTTATAACCATACATATTTTCTACTGATATAGGCGGACTCAGAGCCCTTTCCTGCTTCAAACGGTCGTCCGTGGGCATCCATCGATTTTGCCAGCGACCTCAACCTCAACCTCATTGTATCTAACTAACAAACTCATATCAAATATAAGCAAGTGTGCCAATTCGTATGCATACATTGGACATATACATATAGATAATCTATATATTAATTTTAAAAGCTCAAAGGGGCGCAAGTCTCTCTCGTCAGTTATGATTTTGTTTTCATTTTGTTTTGTTTTGGTTCGGCTACTCTTTGGTTTGTCATTTATTTTTGATTCTCTTATCGTACCGTAAGTGTAAAAGGTTATTCTCAGCCTCTGCCTGACCAAAAATATCACGAGAGTATTTTCATTATCATTTTTTTGTTTGCTATATTACACGTAGGCTAATCCGTTAACCAAAATGGAAGGTGCCAATCGATCGCGGGGTGAACTTAGGGCCAAGTTGAATTAAAGTTCAGAGAGTGCGCCTCCCCAGAGTAGCGCCGATCAGTGGGTATATGCCATTAGCAGCTGATGCGGATTATGCGTGGTAACATATACTATATATAGAGATTTGTATTAAGCTGATAACTGTCCATAGGAGGAGCTCTATTGACTTGTGGTATGCATTGGAAGCCTGTAGTACGGGTTGGCCAGATTAACCCGCGCCGCCGGCAGCAGCTCCGGATGCTCGGTCAAGGTGTCCGACAGTGCGCTTAGAAGAACTCCTAAAATGAAAAGATCAAAGATTATTTACATAAGTTTTTTAGAATAATTACAACATTATATACAATGTTTTTCATATTTCACTTAATTACACATAAATACAGCGCTATTTCAAGCCCTATCTATAGATGCTTGCCACATGAAAATAATCAAAGCTATCACGAAATGCTTATACGCAGCAAGCAAGCGATATTCGTATAAAAGCTTTGTATACAGCTGTGGAAAAATCAGTTTGCAGCCAGCAATCAAAGAGAAAAGTTCTCCAAAGGGAAAACGGAAAATTAAGTCATAATAAATTATTATTAAATATTTACAAAATGGAGCAGTCACAAGAGCAACAGCACAACGTTCAACAGGAAAATAATGGACGACGCCGACATTGGCATTGTCATTTTGGACAACATAAAATTGACATTAATTGGAAACACAGCGGACAAGGACCAAGGAAATGTTTTATATCTCCTTTTATAAAGGACCAAACGTTCAGTAAATATTATTACGAGGCCATGAAAGACTTGTGATGACATCAGACTATGAAAAACTAAGCCAAGTGATGAAATCATACTGTGTAGCTAGCACGGATGGGATCTCTGCTGATGGATCTCATCGTTGTTAAATATGGAGACAAGAACGTTGTAGAATAATAATTTATGTTAACTTATTAGATACGTTAAATATATTAAATAAATATATAATGGATATATGAAAAGAAAATGAGTTATGAGCTTAGAGTTTACAATGGTCTTTATAATAATTGCTTCTGGCTTACAATGCTGTTTTAAATTGTATTTTTTAATATTCAATTATGCTAAATTAGCATCTTAAAATTAATAACTTTAACTCACTTAAGACTTTCTTCTGCAAATCAATGGGAATGACACCCATGTTGCCCTCACGCTCTAGGAATTCCGTGAGCTTCTGTAGCTCCATTTGAGCCTCATCTGAGCCATGGGACAGGGACTGGGCAAACATCACCTTAAAATAAAATACAATAAGTATCGATCGAAAAATAATGCTACCATTTACATACCTTGGCCAGCTTGTAGAGAATCTCCTCCAGGGAGTATTCATTGTACAAGTACTCCACAATCTTGGCCCGACCCTCATCATAGTCATTTAGATCTGCGGATTTAATAAATGTTTCTTTGAATGCAAATTTATAATATTTAAATATATCTCCCACCTTGCTGTGCTTCATTGTCCAGAACCTTTAGTTTGTTCCAGAAGGTAAAGCTATCGAAATTTTTAATGGGAACTGCTCCTGCCTCTTGTGGTATCCCGGTTTGTGATCCGGATTCCCTTACTTCTGGGAAAGGCTTCTCTGTGGTTGTGCTAGTTGTTGTCGTAGTTGTTGTGGTCGTAGTTGGTGGCGTGGTGCTGGGCGGACTGTGACGCTTTAGCTGATTCTGGCGGACTTCCTCGGGAAAGATGCGATTGGCATACGATCGCTGGAGGAACTCGATACCCAGCCGAATATCCTGCAGGAATTTCAAAGCGCTTTCACGAGAAATCTGAAAAAGGATTAAAGATGTTTTTATTTAATTAAATATTAATATAGACAGGTTTAAGATAATGTATATATTTTTGAAAATTACACCGAATCATTGCCTTGGAAAAGAATGAATATAAATAATATTGGGAGGTTTAAAAAGGTGAGATATATAAATATATACACAATTTTATATATTTAATATAAGCCGATATATAGGACGAAAAATCTATGTTTAAATCTTTACACTATTAATGTATTCACAGCTTAACAAACATAAGACCAGAAATATTACAGCCCTTTGAAACCGGTTTTCTGAGTATTTCACAACAATTTCACAAAAATTGTTTAGTATTTCTTAGTAGAAATATTATGAACTGTGTAAGGAATGTATAAATTAAACTAATAAATAAAATAAATATTACTGAAACAAAAATTCTACATCTTTACAACTAATTAAAGTGTTTACAATAAACCTCCCCCCGAATCCACAATTTGTGATCGTTATTTTTGTATAAAATTGAATATTGCAATATTCTATTCATGAATGAAATAATAACAATATATATAAATCTAAAAATAGTTACAAACTTGACATACTAAAATTACACCAAATAATTGCAATATTTCTAGACATATTGCGCATATGAAAACAAATCCATGCCGATTAGATAAACAAATAAAAACAATCTAATCGCTAAATGTTTGGACTCTGCTGAGTATAAAAAGATTTCGTTCAAGCACTGGGAATATCAGTTTGAAGTCAACTTTTAGAGGGAGAAGATCTCAAAACAGAATAATAAATTTAATAAATATTTATTACATAAAAACAAATCATGCATCCACCGCAAGAAGAAAAACGTTCGCATTGTGGACACCACAAGGATAACCATGGACACCATGGACATCACGGACACCATGGACATCATTGGCCAGAATTTGGACATCATTGGCCAGCATTTGGACATCATTGGCCAGCATTTGGACATCAGTGGCATCATGGACATCACCATCATCATCATCACCATGGACACCACCACCGCTCGCCGCCCTTCGGTTGCCATTCCTACGGACCCCCGAAGTGCCATACTGGACCACTCATAAGGCCTCATGGCTTCAGTCATTATTATTATCAGTCAATGAAAGACTAAACCTAATGATGATGTAAGATCATAGCAAAACTAAATCTATTTGTGAAATTGATGCTCAACTAAGCGATCTCTTTATACAAACTTATTTTAAATGTTTAAAAAATAAATAAATTGCATTGAAAGAAGAATAAATATCCCAGTAAATGAAATCTTATATAAACTTTGTTTTAATTTATATGTTATAACCTAACAGCATGAAAAACTTACCACTTTTCCTTCTACCAATTCCTCTACAGCCTTCACCACCGCTGTCTCATCGCCAGTCCAGAAAATATACTGGGCCATGTCGAAGGATGAGTATTGGCCATTTGGACTGCGCAGCAAGTGCTGGACGGTCTGAAAAAGAAAAGTTGGAAAACAATGTTAGGAAACTTTGTGCATTTATATAAAATATATATAAGTATGTATAATGAGCGTTTATAGATTAAATTTTTAGCAGGTGTGTGGTTCATTACCATTTTCTGGGTGTGCCTTTGGTTTACCAATCTTTGTGTTAATTTGATTTAAAATCAAATAGTGCAATTATGTGATGACTTTTATGAAGTTTATGGTTTTGTCTCCAACAGGATGAAGAGAGTATGCTTTTATATCATTTTTGCCAATATATTTTGTTGACCAAAAGGTTTCCAATTTCACCAATGAATTTTATGTAACTGTTGCTTTGTGATTTAAATGTTCTCGTCTTTTTGCCAATTTTTTTAATTTAATTTTCCAATTTGTTTGTTCTTTACGTTCAGGATATGGAGGACACAATTCGTTTTGTGTGCTGATCTATGGTTATATCAGTGATTTGTCATAAGAACCTTGGCCGTGATCTTGGGCGTGCTGGACCTTCGCTCAGTGGTCCGGGCCACCACATCGAAGACGATGTCCCCGATGGTCTCCTTGTTGGGCTCATGATGATTCTGTTTTGGTTTGGGCGGATTTAAAGCGGTCAGTTCGGTTTCGGCTACCTCGCCAATTGGATCTTCCGGCTCTCCGGCCACCTCTACGGTGGATTCTGCCTCAGCATCCGGTTCACCTTCAGCTTCAGGTTCCGCTTCAGGCTTGGACTCCGCTGCTGGCTCTGCTTCAGCTGGCGGAGGAGCTGGTGTCGTGGTCGTTGTAGTTGTCGTTGTACTGGTTGTGGTAGTTGTTGGTAATACCTCCGGATTTTGACCGAAAGCTAGACGAGCTGCCCCGTAAAATGCCTGTTGATTTTTGGGTGGTTTCGTGGATATACACTTGGATTTAGCAAAAGAGGAGGAGTTTTGGAGTTTACCAGGAGTACAGCAAGCGGTCTAAGGGATGGTTTTCTAGGGAATTAGGGAACAGCCCTTACCTTGGCATGGGCCGTGGGCTCCACCACGGTCTTAATCTGTGTTTTAGGCTCCTCCAGCTGTGACCTTTCCCCCTCCTCCTTGGACGTGGCCGTTGTCGTGGTGGCTGAAGTACTAGTCGTTGTAGTCGTGGAAATCAGAGGCGTAGCCACTTCCAGCTGTCGCTCCAGATCGGGCAGGATGTTCGCATTTGGCGTTAGTACCGGCTCTGGAGCAGCAGCCACCTCCTCAACGCTCTCCTTGGTGGTGGTGGTGGTGCGTGCAGTGCTTCCGTCGTGCTGCCGCTTGGTCAAGACCGCTCCTGGCTCATTACGCAGCTGGTCGAGTTCACTTACATCGTCCTCGATTTGGGGGAAAGTCAAGTCGGCGCTGTTACGCTTAGAAGGATCTTTGGAAATATATATTAAAGTAAAAATAAAATATATAAATTAAAAACAAAATATAAAAACAATTCATTTCTAATACTATTCCCGGCATTTTTTAAGACATAGAAAAATGAAGAAATAACGGTACTCACTATATAAGTAGGGCAACAATGCCGGATATGCTTGCGCCATACAGAGGCTGCCCAGGAGAAAGATGGCCACCAGATTGCCCGCCGCCATGACGTGTAATTCCACAAAAAAAAAACTGAAAGTGACACACGACGTAATTTATTTGATTAGCAGCCAAGATTCGATTACACCAGCACAAACATGGCCTGCAAAAGGAAACTGAAAAGGAAGCGCAAAAACAAGCACAAACAACTTGCACACAAAAGCACTCACACACGCTGAGCACGCACATACATACATACATATGCAAATCACGCTAAAAATAACACAAGAAATCGATAAGACAGCAACAAAGCGGACCAAGTAAAGCAGTAAAAATAATAAAAACGCCAAGAAGAACGAGGCAACAACAAAGCAGTGCAGGGAGAACATGCCAACTTTGATGCGCACTCCATTTCCCTCCTCCCACTTTCTCTTACTCTCTCTCTCTCACACACACAGGCGCGCTCTAGTGTAAATTGAGTAAATTGGCCGCATAAGCGAATTATCGATGCAATGGGGAAAAACACTTAGGCACGTTTGGGGAATCTTTCGAATTAAAGGGTCACCGGAGAATTTCTTAAGCAAACACGAGCAAACACACATACGCACACAGAAATCAATTGCACGCCTTAAGGCGCAAAAATAATGCACTTTATAATATCCATTCAGTGGAAGTTTCCCAAAGAAGTATGCTAACATTTTGTTATACTATGGACTTCGCTTTTACAAGAATTGACCAAACTTCTGAATGAAAGGAAATCAGTTTTTACCTCTACGATTTTACGGTTTAGAGAAAACAAACACGTCCGCAGCGTTCGAGGGCAGAAAATATTCTAAGCGGAGCTCGAGCACCGTTAGAAAACGGCTGCCGAAAGCTTTCTCTTGCCGGAAAAGCTCAGCAAGGCACGAAGGACTAACAACGGGATATACGACTTAAATCAAATTTTATACAAATAGTTATTTTAAGTCATTTTTTCAATCACGGTAAAGCTATTATTAAGTGAATAAAAATTAGATATATATACATATCTAATTCCTTATACATATGAGTTTTTTTTTATTAATTATTAATAAAATAAACCTTGTCAAAACTTTAAAAACAGAGTATAAGATTTTTAGTCATATAATTAATACAATTCCACTAATAAATTTAAAGGCAAACACAAGATATACGAAAACATGCAATAAAACCCCATAATATCTTGATGTACTCCTGTTGGCTGAATGTGTAAGTGTTACTTAGTTGATATTTTAAGATCTAAGAGACTCTATTTGGAAAGAATAAACAATTAATGTTAATAATTTGTATTTGTATAATCTGTATTAGATAACACAAAACACAAACTTGCTCTTTCGTTTCTTATTAAAAGTAGACTAATGGGAAAAACAACTCCGGAAAAAATAAATTCTCAATATAACAGAATAGGCCAAGATCAAACACTTTTTTAATTCCTAAAGGTTGTCTACATTTTATTAATATAAAAATAACAACTAACTGCAACCGGGAAAGGGTTCAACACGATTTTTCCGCAAAACAAACTGGATTTTCCGGTTCATGTCCTCGTTGTATATAGCCTTGCATTTCTCGAAATTAACGCGGCGACGCACCTAAAACAGTTAATTTAATTTATTAATAAATAAATTTTAAGACTAAACGCTATAAAATTCACCTGATAGGGCTTTTCGTAGAAGCGTGTGCGCCGGAATTGGTCGAGAAGTTCTTCCTTGCCCAAAACGCGGTTTAGCATTCGGCACGCCTCCTCCACATTGTTGTTTTGCACCAAAACAGTGCGGGCCAGAAATTGGACGTGTCTCATTTGTGCTCTTATTTTTTATTTCAGAAATTTAACACGAAATGTTTATTAAATAATAGTCTCCAATAATATAATGTGACCAAATAACCGGTTATCAGCTGTAGCGAAAAATACCACAACCAAATACCAAAAATATCCACCACAACAAAGTATTTTGTTAAAACGTACCATTTCCACTGAATATTAAAAACAAGATGAAAACTAAATTATAAGCTAACGCGGAAGTTTGTATACCCTTGCAGGTTGCAATTTCATCACAAATAATTAAAACAAAAATATATAAAATTGTATATATTTATGTTTAAAAAATACAACAGAATGGTACATTCACTTACACATATTATATTTACAGATACGGTATTACATATTCCTCTGAATTTAGCGATCGTTTGTATGGCAACTATATAATGTAAGAGTCCGATTTCCATAAGATTAAATCCGATATTTTAAAATAATACAAAATGGGTATGTATCAAATTATATCAAAATATTTTGAAAACTAAAACACCAAATCTTTATTCGTTCCTATTGAATCTATATAATATTTCATAATAATTCTAATTTTCTAAATTTTCTAATTCTAATTTTCTAAATATTATTAAATTAAAGCATGTTGAAAACTGAAAAAAAAAGTTATAATATTTGTAATATTGATTTCCCAAACGTTGCTACGGCAGCCATATGATATAGTTATCATATTTTCATAAATATATATTCGAAATTATAAAATAATTCAAAATTGCTATATCTCAAATAAGATGAAAATATATTGAAAACTGCAGAAGTTGTATATATATTTTTTTCTTTAAATTTTGCTTTCATTCCTATGGTGCTATATGATATAGTAGTCCGATTTTTCATAATAATAAATCTGAAATTCGGAAAAATACAAAATGGCTATATATCAAAATATGTGAAAAATTTTAGAAACTGGAAGTTAGAATTTTGTTTCTAAAAATTAACATTCAACTTGTATTATTTTTATATAAGATTTCACCAATGTAAACAGTTTCCTATCATAATAATTTCTAGTTCATAAATTAAAAATTACTTATTTTATTAATCTAAGCGGAAAAATGAATATTTTAGGGTGATTTCAACTGTTTAAGATTTTTTAGTTGCAAGGCCAAATTCTTATATGGCTACACTGATGGTCGTATGCCAGTACCTGGCCACACTCCGATTTTTCTTCCAAGCGTGGCGGCCATAGTAAGCTGTTAAAAAGTACTTGTAAATTTAAATTATTGTATAAAGAGTTGCTCTCGAGGAACGTAGTTTCAAATATCCGTTATTGCTTTAGGAACACGACACAAGGAAAAGGTAAGAGGCGGTGGGATATTTCCAAATGATTTTGCACATTTTGCTTCTTTTTTTTGTGCGCGTGTATGCATGTGTGTGTGTATTTGGTAGACACTTCCTTTTTGCTCTGTTCTTTTTCCTCTCGTTAAGTAATCAGCGATAATTGTTTTTTTTGCCAGATGTGCTTTTGGTTTTTGGGTTTTGTAAAATCGATGGCTCACGGCCAATGCTGCCGTTTCTTCCTCTTATTTTGCTTTTGTTCAATAATTCTGACGCAGCGTCTTGCGCGGCACATGTTTGTACCTACACAGACGCACGGACTGTATGTGAAGGTGTGTACATGTTAACTTTCTTTGGTAAAAAATATGATTGGTTGGTCTGTGACTCTTGCGAAAACGTGGTATTTTAATGGGCCCCAGCTCATTTTAATGCATTTACACATTTTCGAGTGATTGCCCTTTCCCCTTTTGTCTGATTTTCTTTTACTTCTATGGTTTTTCATTATCGCTCTCTTTGCTTTACGGTCGCCGTTCGCAACCAGGGCTGCGTTAAGCTGACGAAATTTTCTAGAAACTGTCTGTTTGTGTGCGTGTGCGAAAGAGAGGGCTTGTGGCAAGGGGGCAGAGAGCGTCAGCTGCTCGCGGTGTATTTGAAATGGGCGAAAAAAGTTCTAGAAATTGTCTAGAAAACGGCGCAGTTATTTTCGCACACACATGGCGGCGGTCTGACCTTGAAACCCGGGCTCTAGCTTCCGGCAATGGCGCCCCCCTTCCCACGCCCTCACCTGCACTGAAAGAAAATAGGCTTGAAAACGAAAATGATCGAGACGATCGCTATTAAGTGACGCAAAATTGGGAGCAAAACCATTTTGGAAATCTATAGATACATATCGATAGAAAAAGTTATCTATAAAACTATACCTAAATATGCACACTGCACTATTTCTTAGTCATTATTTATAGGGTTTATCGCACGCATAATCTTTTCAGTTCTTATAAGCTCTTTAAAATTTCAAAGTAAACAAATGCCACAAAAAATTCGAACATTTATTAAGTCCAAACTGCATATTTATTGTTAATAAAGTCTTAAATTCGAAATTTGTTTATGTTCAGGTCCACTTGAACATAAATTTAAGTTGCCAAGCAACAATGATTCATTTTTTAAATCTTAAATCTTAGATATCCATATATTATCAGCAAGTAGGCGACGAATCTTTAAATCTCTAAAAGACGTTTAAAACGTTGAAATGTTCAGTCAGTTACCTCTTTGTAAATTTTGCATATTCTTCTAGTCGTGAAAACAAACACGTATTTCGAAATCTTTTTACAAGTCTGTAAAAAACGTAGTATTTTACAAATCAAGAATATCTTCCGGGTACTTGTTTTTGGTCTTGCATTTCGGTGTGGTTTTTTAACTCTTCCTCTTCGTTCCCTTGCAGTAAACAGCTTACAAGATGGTCAAGGAAACCGGCTACTACGATCTGCTAGGCGTAAAGCCGAATGCCACGCCTGATGAGCTGAAGAAAGCCTACCGAAAGCTGGCCCTGAAGTACCATCCTGACAAGAACCCGAATGAGGGTGAGAAGTTTAAAGCCATCTCGCAGGCGTATGAGGTGCTGTCCGATGCGGACAAGCGTCAGGTGTACGACGACGGCGGCGAGGCGGCCATTAAGAAGGGCGGTGCCGATTCCGGAGACTTCCGGAATCCCATGGACTTCTTTGAAAAGTTCTTTGGCGCCGGTTTCGGCGGCGGCGGCGGCGGTGGCCGGCGACGAGAGAGGCGCGGCAAGGATGTGGTGCACCAGATGTCCGTGCAGCTGGACGAGCTGTACAACGGCGCCACTCGGAAACTTCAGCTCCAAAAGAATGTCATCTGCGACAAGTGCGAGGGACGTGGCGGCAAGAAGGGAAGCATCGAGAAGTGTTTGCAGTGCAGAGGCAACGGTGTGGAGACCCGTGTCCAGCAGATTGCCCCCGGCATCATGCAGCACATCGAGCAGGTATGCCGCAAGTGTTCGGGAACTGGCGAGACCATCCAGGAGAAGGATCGCTGCAAGAACTGCAACGGTAGGAAAACTGTGCGGGAACGAAAGGTACTCGAGGTCCACATCGAGAAGGGAATGCGGGATGGACAGAAGATCGTGTTCACGGGCGAAGGCGATCACGAACCGGAATCTCAGCCGGGTGATATTATTATTTTGCTGGACGAGAAAGAGCACTCGACATTCGCGCATGCCGGCCAGGATCTGATGATGAAGATGCCATTGCAGTTGGTTGAGGCTCTGTGCGGATTCCAGCGCATCGTCAAAACGCTGGACGATCGCGATCTTATCGTTTCCACCCAGCCCGGAGAGGTTATTCGGCACGAGATGACTAAGTGTATTGCCGAGGAGGGTATGCCAATCTACAAGAATCCCATGGAAAAGGGAACACTGATCATTCAGTTCGAAGTGATCTTCCCGGAGGTTATGAATCCGTCTGTGGTGCCCACGCTCAAACAGTGCCTGCCGCCGGCGCCGGAGGTTGACATTCCAATTGATGCAGAGCAGACGGTTTTGGTAAGCTAATAGATAGAAAAATAGTGAATTTCCCTTCTGATGCATTTTATATTTGTGTCTTTGCAGGAAGACTTTGATCCCAAGCAACGCCGTCAGCAACACCAGCGCATGGCATACGATGAGGACGATGTTGGCTATCAAGATGGTCCCCGTGTCCAGCAATGCACATCGAGTTAAGCGCCCCCGCTGCGTGTTTGCACTCCGGACAATTCACATCCCTTATAATACACATCCCCAAACAACCAGCAGTAAAAATATGTAAACCAGCTCCCGGAACACTGTAACTGCGCTTGAAATGGCCTAAGAACTCCTCTAAAGCACCCCAAGCAAACACACTAGGAGACACAACCAATCAAGATCTAACGTTATTTCATGCAAGCTACGATATTTAGGTATAAATCAATGAACTTATCAGATATATGCACTATGTCTATAACGCGTGGTTGTTCGAAAACCAATGAGAACATTTTCATTTCGTTTATGTTGAGTTGAATTGAAGAATCAAAAAACGGAAACTGAAACTGAAAGTAAACTAAACTGAAACGCAAAATCAGCCGCCACTAGAACCGTATGTAAAGTCCGCGCCAGCGAACGCGTCTAGAAACAAGTTTAAGTTATTTAATTCCAGCATAAATAAAAGCGTTAGTTTAAACGGATATAACAAATAAATAATTAATACACAATTTCAACCAAACTGTAGTATATTCTTTTTACCCCTAGATACTATATATGTAATTTTCGCCTGCTTTATCTGCTAATTTCATTATCGGGTGCACAGTCATGTCATCTGGGCCATGAATCACCTCGCCTAATGCCAATTGGAGATATCTGGCCTACGGCAGACGTAAAACTGAACCTGGCGTGATTAATTTGACTGCCGAGCGTTTCCAGTTTTTATGGGGTATATTATTTAAACTGTTATCTGGGATAAGCAGAGATAAATAAAAATTAAAATAAATAGGAGAGGCGGTTATCGAATTGATTTATGGATTTGAATAATAAAGGATCAGTCGATTCTCATCATACACTTGCAGGGTATTATAATTTTCATGATAAGCTTGCAGCAACGCTGAAAATTGATAAAATTTATGACCTATAAGAACAGCAAGCAGCTTAAAACACCTCCGCAATCACCAGATCGTAGTTCTCTAAAGCATGTATGCAATATCCTAGACAATTTCTTTCGACATATTCTAAAAAACGTCGTTGCAAGCTGATTGAGAAAATATTACCACTTATGCGATGAGTAACTAAATAAAAAGCATGGGTTGACATTCAAAACTAAGGGAGTACTTACTTAATATTAAAAATTTGAAAACATACAAAATATCGTATGAAGTGTTGAATAAGTTTTGTTAGAGAATTCAACGACTTTTGTTTAATTTGAGAATTTATCTAACGATTAGGTAAACACATCTAATATTTTTTATTTATTCTTTAATTTAATATTCTATGAATATTAATCTCTACCATGAAATATAAAATTTATGCTTACTTTATGAAGTTTTTGATTTATAAATGAATAAAATCACAGGTGTCCGAATAAATGTTGTGCTGACTGTATGTTCATATGTGTTTGCGAATTCAAGTTCACGTACACACACACACATACGCAAAAGAATTTTTGAGTCGTCGCGAAGATCAAAAGCAAAGGGTCCGAGAATGCACTGAGCAAAAATAAAGGAAACTAACTTCGGGAAATCGAAGTTTATATGCCCTTAAAGTTTTCAATTGAATTATAGGATCGAATCAAAAATTTATCATAACTAAGCTTTAAATATTTTCATTCTTTGAATCGATATGTTGAAATTTAAATTTTTTGTTAAATCAAGGTTTAAGATAGATTCACCTGTTAATGCTGATCAAGAATATATATATGGTTTAACTAAATTATAATATAATATAATACAAAATAATAATATAATACATTCATATGACAAATCAGAGTTTAAAAATCTCATAACTAAGCCAAAAACGCATTAATTTAAATTCGAAAAGCTGTCTTGTGTTACTTTTTATTAGGTTAATAAATCTGAATACTCAATTAAAAATTTAAACAAACTAAAATTATTATCAATTTTTTTTTGACAATTTTAATAATGCAACTCCTTATAAAATTTTGAAAATTGCAAAAAATTAAATTTTTTTCTGGCATAGCTAGATCGACTCGGCTAATGATGCTGATCAAGAATATATATGATTTATAGGGTCGGAAATTAGTCCTTCACTTAGTGTTAAGCTTCTGACTAAATTTATAATACCCTGCAAGGTTATAAAACGGCAGTTATAATTATTTAATTTTAAATTTTCGATAGTTCCTGGCAGCTGTATAATATAAAATATTAAAAATAACTCATTTATCTGGGTAGATAAATATAAATTGAAAACAGATTGATATATGTATATTGTTTGATCGTTTCAATGCCAACTATAATGATATAATTATCATCACCAAAGTCTTTCCGACTTATTTATAATATAAATTAAAATAAAACTATATGCAATAGTATATATATAAAGTTTGGCTTTTCCTTTCTTTAAAATTTTAAATTGGCTTTATGTATTTTTTTAAACGTAAAAAACACAAATTAAAATGTCTTGTAAATTTATTTACAACGTATTCGTTAATGTCTCTACAAGAACACTTATATTTACTATTAACTAATGTGCAAAATTCCTGAGTGCAGCCACAACGCCAGTGCCGTAGATCAGCTTCTCCTCGACCCGCTGCCAGGCAGCTAGCTGCACCTCAGAAACGCTACGCAGCGCCCTCACCAACTCCGGGGACTCGGTCAAGCCAAGGCCGTGGGATCGTAGAAAGACACTCAGATAGGATTGAGCTAGCTCAAAGTTTAGATTAGTTCCAAACATAAACTCCATTAGCTTGAGGAACTGCAGCATGGCGAGGAAGGTACCTCCTGCTTCCGGATGCAGGGACTTAATTTCAAAGTCTATCATCGAGGGTCCCAGTTGGGTGAGGTGCGACACAGCGGATGGAAAGTCATAACTGGTAGCAGTTCCCTCCAGTAGTCGTCCGAAAGCAGTTAGATTGTTCATTGCAGAGGCCTTTCGAATGCGTGAGCTCTCGTCCTGTTTCTGGCCATTCTCCACATCGAAGCGGAGTTCTAGGCCAGAGACTGTGGGCAGAAAGAATGGAGCCAGCTTGGGAGCCTTTGGCGGCGCCTTGGGTTTGTTGCGTTGCTTTATCAGCTCCAGATCCAGCAGATTCTGCCACCGCGATGCAGCCAATCCGGATAGCGTTATTAATTCTTTGGAAAGCTGAGTGGGAGTCTCATACTTGGCATCGATTAGCTCGCCGAGTTTTGTCTCGTCCTCGTCGTCAATTTCCAGTTTTATTAAACCATCCTCCAATTCCATAGCATCGCAAACATTGGTGGGTAATCCTACATAAGGAGCAGGTTCCCACGGATCGATAGAACGCAGAGAAATCTGATTGAAGAGCGTCCGGTTGGCCCACAGGTAAATGCCCAACAGATTGACATGAGCTGTGGCAAGGAAGTCGCCGTTGGGCGACATGGTCAGCGAAACGCATGGCGCCTCTACTCGGAAGTGATCTACCATGTAGGAGGAAGGTATGTCCCACACCTTTATCGTTGAATCCATGGCGGCGGTGATCAGCCAACGGCTGTCCGGACTGAATGTGAGGTCATTCAGCTTGGCCGTGTGGCCGAAGAATTTGCGCACAATCACACGCGTATGCATGTCCATGACGAACACTTTAAAAGTCTCCAGTCCGATGGCCAGCATTGAGCTCTCGCGGTGCTGCCTCATCATGGTCACTCCATCTGCCAGACGAAGAACGGCCACAGGTTTATCAACTTTTCCCTTAAATGCCCAGAACTTGACGAGGCCCTCCGAGCAGCCAGAGACCACGGTCTGGTTCAGATTATCGCTAGCCACGCCGCGCACTGCCTTCTGGTGACCCGGTGAACCGTAGCTTGCACGATGTGCTCCTGACTGGATATTGAAGCGTTCGATGTCGCCAGTGCTATAGCCAACGATGACGAAGTTGCCGCAGTGGGTAAGCACGAGGCAGGTGGTTTCGCTTTGGAAATCGCTGCGGTTCTTATTTTGGAACTGCTTGGGCACCAGACGGTGTTCACCCATGCGGTTCTTATCGAATGTCCAGGTGGTGGTCTGAATAATGCCCGCATGGATGGCGGCTATGTTGTCCCACTCCTTCTCGCGTGCTGTGTCCGATGTGAACTCCAGGATTGGCGGCATGGAGAACTTGTCGTACTGGAAGCGGTCTAAAGAATAGATGAAATAAAATCAATTGATCTGCTATAGATATATTCAGTAACTCACTCTTCTTTTTGGTTGCCTTCCGGTTGTAGGTGGCCCTGCCCATGCTCTTGTTCAGCGACTCGGCGATGGTGGAGAACACCCTCATTGTGCTATCCTCGCCGGAGGAGAGAATTGACACTCCAGAGCTGCCATGGTATCTAATGCAGAGCGGTGGCTTCGTGTGACCTTCTCTGATCCTAAGTTGCCTCGCTCCACCATCTGACATGTCGAACACAAACATTTTCATCGAGTTATCCGGCGAAGTAGTGAAGACCACAGGCTCATTAGGCAGACAAATAGCGGTGGTCACCGACTCCTCATGGGCCTGCAGTTGGCCGGCCAACTTGCGCTCCTCCAGATTCCAAAAGGCCATGTAACCGTTGCTGCAAGCAGATACCAGGATCGGTGGTCCATCCGTGCGGAAGGCTAACCTGGTTACCTGTCCCCAGTCCTGCTGGAATCCCATCAGCACCTCGTCAAACTTGAGGTTCAGCACAATGATTGCGCCGTCTCCGTGACCCACGGCCACTACATCCAAGGCAGGAGCAGGTTCAATGCAGGTGATCCTACTCTTGTGATGGCTCAAGGTGCAGACCACGGTGTTCTTCTTGATGTTCAGGATCTTAATTTGACCCTGCTGGGACCCCAGCAGTATCTTGTTGATATAAGTGGGCGGGTGTGCCACTGCGGTGATTTGGAACTCTTCAGGGCGAAAAGGCACCTCCAGATATACGTCCTCCGTGGGTATGTTCCACACTTTGAGGACATTGGCACGATCTATGGCAATCAGATTCGTGCCAAAGGGCAGCAACAGGTGAACATCTTTTTGGTGGCCGCGGTACACGTGCCGGATGTGCTTGCCCGCTCGCCAGGCGAATATGCACTTGTTGCTTGCAGTGTACGTGTGCAGGCGATCCGTGGCCAGAGCGGTGATCTCATCCGGATGGAGACCACTGACATGTATCAGCCGGAAATGGCTGGCAGTGTACACTTGGAAGGAGCGACCGATGCAAGTGATTAAGAGTGTGTCCCTCCGGCGCTGCACGTACCGGGTAACGGCTGGAACATGATTGCTCACATAACCGAGAGCCCTGTTCCGCCGAAAGATGCAGCTGCTCTCCTTGAAGACAGAACGCGTCTCTATCGCCTCTGGGTTTTCAACCGTCGGCAGGTGCGTCATTTTTTAGTAGTTGCTTCACTAAATTAAATCATTTAACAAATCAAATGTTTACGGTTGAAGCACGTGTGACGCAGTGAGACCAGTTCTGTTTCTATTATTGATTTGAGGATTTTGGTTCCACGGTAGTTGGTCACACCTAAACGTTTTTAGAAATTGGCGTTGCCACAAACGGCCAGGAAATAAGTCTGCTTAACAGCGCTGCCATATAATAAAAAACGTAAGAGTGACTTTAGGCTGCCTGATACAGAACGCGGATATTACTATTCTCAGCAATTTTGAATTTTATAAAAAACATAAACATAATAGCTAATTTCGGGAAGCCGAATTGAAGTTTGCAATAACTTAGCCAAAAATGCTTGAATTTTAATTCGGAAAGCTTTTTTGCCTATGTTTTTATTAGCTTTTATAATCAGCATACTACATTTAACATTTTTTTTAAATTAAAACTTTTATACTAAAAATTTTTTTTTTTTATTTTAATCTCTATTAATTTATTAAAAACTAATTTTCTTGTGATCATGATCTTGACATGAATAAATCGACTTGGCTGTTGATGCTGATCAAGAATATATATGATTTATAGGGTCGGAAATGACTCCTTTATTGCTTTAAGAATTTTTTACTGAAACTATAATAGCGTGCAAGGTGATAAAGTTTAAATCAACCAAATCTGATTAGAAATATCTGAAATGTAGATTAATTAAACTGTCATACTGTTTAATTTAACAGAAACAAGTCAATTTTTCTTTTTGCTTTTCTAGCACATTATATATTTTTTAACAACACTTCTTTTTACAAATAAAAACTCTTTTTTAATGTTGCGCCTTTTGAATTTACTTATACACTTATAACGATTAACATATTTAATTACACAGTTTTCCGATGAGATATGCATCGCTATTCAGTTGAATGTTGGAGTAAATATTATTTTAAAGTATAATTACAACTATATGTAGTCTTTCGCTTTCCTCGTAAATAAACATAAATAATATATATATATATATATATGCATGTATTTATTATATAAATATTGAAACACAACATTGCCGTTTTCTTCGTTTTATTTTTCGTCTCCTTCGTACTCTTTCTTTTTCTTTTTTTTGTCACTGAAATCCTTACCAGCCCCTAAAAATTTCAGTTTTTTTTTTTTAACTTAGCAGTTTGATGCCTAAGCGATTAGCATGAAAATTGATTGCTGTATGTGTAGACATTTATCAAACATTTTATACAAGTTGCGAAAGTGATTAACATTCATTAGTAATTCATATGGTTTTTGTTGCTGCTGATGTTGTTTGTTGTCTGTTTGTCTTTCTGTTGTTGTTGCTCCTGTTCTTGAGGTTCGTTCCAGTTGTTGTTCTTGTTTTGCAGGTTGAGGAATTGTGAGTGTCTACGTGATTTTGTGGCTTTAATTTAGGGCATTAATCTCCCCAGAATTGGCTAAAGGATAATCCAGTTCACTGAGACGGGCAGCCGGTCGTCGGGGACGATTGAACTATAAATTGAAAAGAAAATTTAAATTATTATATTTTGTGAATAATAAAATGCACACAAAACAATTTAAAAAATAACACAATAAAATTTTAAAGTTTCTAAAATTCTAGGTGTAATATTTAGTGAAAAATATTATGTTTGTGCTCTTAAATATCAATTCAAATTTTGTTTATATTTAGGTTATTTTTTTAATATTAAATATTTCCCGCTGTGTGTGGCACCTACCCATGATCTCATGATTTTGTAGAGCACCTGTCGAGCGGGATAGTCATTAAAGTCGCCCTCGGGCGATACCGCAACCTGTTCGTTTGGCGCCATCATCGGCAGCAGGCCATTTGGACGAATATAGTCCTGGTCCTGACCACCGGAGGCTGTTTCACCCATTCCCACACCCGTGCCGGTCCCAGATCCAGCGCTAAGGGAACGCTTGCCATGTCCACCGTAGCACACATGTCCAAAGGCCTGGCATCCCTCTGCGGAAAGATGAAAAAGTGAATTAGTTACAAACAGTGTTGCCTTTACTTTTGATATGCATAAAATATAGAGTTGAAAAATTAATGGCAATATATAAAAGTTTAATTAAAAGGACATTTAATAAACTGTTTTATGTCAACAAATTTAAATATAGATAAAAATACTTAGGGAAATAAATCATGTTTTCTGTCACACTATAAAATATGAAACAAAATACTAGAAATATAATTTAAAATTTTTGAACTGTAAACAATCCATTAAAAAGCTTAATATAGACCTTGTCAGTGTAATAGGCTCATCACCTAATCGATATCAGGACCTCCCATCCTTTTGCTTTGATTTTCTCCATAGGCATGTGCATTTCCCAGCCATTGAACCACCCCCACAATTTTATGCCCATTACTGGGAGACAGACTCCTCCTGTGATTCCCTGACTGCCGAAATCTTTAATCGCTCGCCAAAAGCTCAAGAGAGACATCCTCCGATAACCATTTGACCCCATGACGGTTCAATTTCATTTTGTTTGCTTGTCTGATGCGGTGTGTGTGTGTGAACAAACTTTTGACTTTATGCTATTTTTGAATTTCCGCCCACACACTGGAGAGCATAAATTTTCGTGTTGCACTCTTGGGAGTTGTCCTTGACATACGCACAATGTAAATGCAGGATGGCAGCGGTTGGTTGGTTGGGAGGATTACCCAAAAGTTGATGGGTTGCTTTTCTAATCTTTAGGAGTTTTGTGAACTGTGATAACCGTAGTCTTGAAATATTTTTAAACTTTAACTTCAGTTCAGCAATCGTTAGAAAGATTTGTCATATTTTAGTATTTAAATTAATCTTTAATGAAGTACAAAATGAGCTCTCAGCAGATTTCCAAACTATATTTAAAGTAGGGTATTTGACTTTTGACTTCCTTTGTGTCTGACTTACACCATTTTCCATGTAATCGCTTTGGGAGCCCTAAATAAGTTTACTAGCCATCAACTTAAAAGCCGTTTCAAAGGCCATCAAATCAAAAAGTTTTCGTAATTGAAGCAATCGGGGAATCGCATGAAATGGCCACTGAAGACTTGGTATTTGGTAACTTGCTTGAGTTTCTCTATTAATAATTTCAGCATATGTATAAAGATGTCACACACACATTGTCTGTCCTTTGGAAATGGTGGCAACTTGCAAGGGAAACGGAAATTGCAACCCTCCCATGATGCTCTTGTTTTTGCCATTTAACTTTTCCGCAGCTGGAAAAACAAAGACGCCCGTGTGGCACATTTGTTTGTCTTGTATTAAACTGCAACAATTGATGCCGCCTCGATGGGCGTGGATATGATGCGGATGTGCATCGGTTACGACACCCATTTATGGCTTTGTTTTTCGAGATAAATTTAATGAATATTTCATGGCAGCTTCACTTGAATATTTCCCAGAGAAAAGCTTTAAATATATGAGTACGGGTGCACTTTAAGTGAATTGTTATTTTTTTATAAAAGGTCAGAATTGAACTCCATGTAGTTAAGGTTATTTTAAGACATATTTTATAATGTATTTTTATGAAATGATTACAAGAAAACCCATTAATTAATTTTGTTATCATTTTAAGGCCCTAAATCTTGTTTACTTAGTTCGCATGCCGGAACTAGCCTGATTAACCCTCTTATCAGTAGATTATTAAATTTATGAGGGTTTAATTAATTGAATGAATTGAAAAATGCCAAATTAATCCCCACGAATTGTACTCTGAATGATTTTATGTTTTAATTGTTAAATTTCGATGATATACTTACTTTTCGCTTGACTCTGTTGGGCGGCCAGGACCACGGTGCAGATGACAACCAGAAGCAAAGAAATTGTGGATTTCATGATACCTGAAAGATAGAGAGAGGAGCAAAGACAAAAGGGATGAGCACACCTGTTGGAGTCCAGAGTCTAAAGTCTGGCATTGACATTGCGAAGGAGTATTTCCCCGGGGCACGCTACACACTAATTAGGAAATCCGAGCACAGAGCGACGGCCGAGTTGAAATCAAATCCGGCATCCGAAAGTCCACATGCGCTTAAGAAGCTAATCCTGGCAGAAACTTTTGAACTATGATTTATGTAACGTCCCCCTCTCCCACCCTTACAAAAACACAAAGACAATTAGCATGGACTTGAGGGCAAAATGTGGAAGTTCTGCAAGCATTTGTTTATTACGTGCCTGGAATTTCTTAAAATGTGTTCATCAGCTTGCGGACATCTTTACCAAGAATATTCATAGATAAAAGGTAAGTCATTTAATTTGTGGGGACCAGCATGAATTTTCTTACTAAATGTTTTTGGGTTTTGTGTGGGCCAAGGACCAAGATGGAACCTATTAAAATTTAGCAACAGCTGATGTTTGCCTTTAACCCATCAATCATACGACATGTGTGCGTAATTAAGTTTATTATTAGAAATCGAAACACAAGTCGCGTGTTGCCTTTAAGAGCAATTTTGAAAAGGGATTACTTATGCAGTTGTTGTATAATTTAATTGTTAAGAACTTAAATGGGAAAATTGTTTTTGGCTCATTGGCTTACTAAAACGTTTTAAATTTGTGATTAAATTTTGCAAATATATTTCAAAAATGTTTACAGATCCCAAAACAACTCACGTGTCTGCCTGATAAGTCTCCTCTCATTTTGTTCATTTGTATTTATGATAACATAAGGTATAAACGTTGATGTCGCCATCAATCATACGCCCCGTGAGCACGAATAAGTAAATAATTCAAGAACCGAACACGGTCGCGTGTCGCATTCAACTGCAGCCTGGAAAACTCACCTCAATCTAGATGATTAGCTGATCTTTAGTTTACACAATATATATATATGAAAATACGGCAGGTATATTCTTTGTTTTCAGGGTTTATCAGCACTACACTTTGATTTATTATATATTTGTATTATGTTTGCCGTAACCTGGTTACTATATAGAAATCACAGATATGATTGGGGCGGATGTTTTTTTTGCCAGTTTTCAGTTTTGATATGGCAATTCCACCGACCGAATCCGAATCCCTGAGCACGATCTCACATTTTCAAGCTCCCGCCAGCGACTGAGACCGATCTGTGGCTCCCGCTCGATCTATATGCCACCTTCGGAATCTCATCTCTCTGCGGTATTTTTTGTTTCCTTTCGACGACCCACTGATAAGCGGCGATCTCTTCCGTAATCTCCACGCAATCCGTGTCACGCGTCTCACTCCCACTCTTATAGGTTTTCCGCCTGCTTTCCTTTTTTCCCAGCCCCTTGGTTATTTTCAGATGCAGGGCGGGCTAAATTTATGGACCAGCCGATAAGTGGAAATTAATATAAAGCAGGCGAGCAGTAAAAATCATCACAACAAAAACACCCACGCACTGCGAAAACAATAACAGCATTCTCATGACACGAAAAAAAAAATATATAATAATAATAATTGTTTACCAAAGGCGGCAGGGCGGTGGCAACACTCGACCCTTGGGGCTTATCAATTTTCCCAGCTATTTAGTTGTGATAATAATGCCTTAATGATATGTTGCTGCCACACAAAGTCCCCACAACACTGTCACTAATACCCGTTCGTGTGGCTTCCTAGGCCGTAAATTCTGGATTTCGAAAAAATTTCCACAGGTGCTGGGATTCTCTCAAATAATTTATACACGTGACAAATTCATAGACTCTAATGGAATCAATACAGAATGGGGATCAATCTATTATTTGATATGTCAGCAACGAGATTAGGTTCTATACTCATTAGTTTTCTTTTCTCAGCTATAATTTATGGGTAATATTTTAAAGAAAGGAATTTTAATTTTAAATATAATAGTTTCTAAGCTGTTTTTTTTTCTGAGTGAACTCCCAATTCAAAGTTCACGATCGGTTTCCGTGTGAAATTCTCTAATCGCCGGCTGATAATATTAGCAAAGACAAAGCAAACAGCTGCTAACCAGGTCAGGCAATGGAAGCGTGCCTCAGGCACAAATCGTTTCAAATCGGATCAGATTACTCTCCTCTCTCACAGATTAGCCTGGTTTAAGTCAAATGGGGGAAAAACAGGGCAGGAAAAACTAAATTAAGGCGGTCCTTAAGTGAGGTCAAGACTTTCTGAGGTTTTACGCACTTGAGTAAAGTCTGCAGACAAATCTTTTGAAAGCTAAAAGTTGGTAAGTTAAACTCAATGAATGTCCACTGAAAATTGCAGATGTCAGAGTATCTTAATATTTTATTGAGTAATGTTAAGCTTTTTAATAAATTAAATAGGTCAAAACCCTGTGAGAACAATTTAAATATTTATTTCCTTATTATTGTCTCAAACTTGGACTTTAAAAAATGTTTATGTCTGTCATAAAATCTTCTTTCATAATTTCCCCCTGACTCTGTTCTCTTTTATTCATTTATGCTCATTATGCTGCATATTTCATTGAATCCTTTATGACTAGACTATATAATTTAATATTTATCTCCTTTGGGAGCAATCGCCTTTTTTGCATGCACAACTCCCATTACAGAGCTCTGAATTCCTAATGAAAAGTGTGCGCTGCTCCGGGAAAAAGGAAAAACACTCAAATCAAGTTTAAGTTAAAGTTTCCCAACAGCAACCAGTTGCGTCTTGTCCGTTTTTAGTTTCCAAGGATAATGCCTGATTTATACAGCTGTTCACAGGAATGTGTTGACTTTTAGTATCTTCAACTTTGAAGGCGGAAAAGGAACAGTTTTGTGGTGATTCGGAGTCTCAACTTTGACAGCGGGGGCACACGATGGCCTGCAGCCATTTAGTGGGAGTTATCAAAAATAAATCAAAGCGGAAGATGAGGCATTTGAAAACCCAACTTACCCACCCACTCTAGGCCGGGAGTCTACATAATTATGGCTGCTAATCTAATTCGATTCAATTAGATTAGACAAATAAACAAAAACGGTCGAGGCCCAAAACAGGTCCTCAGGGGAATTGCCAAATTAATTGCCAACAAATGTAAGCCTAAACGGAGGGAAGTTACTTTAATTGTAATCGAAGGAAGTTAATTTGTAATAAAATATGCAAATTATGTACATTTTTAGAGGATGGTTTGATGGATTAATGATTCGCATGATATTCAACAAATTTTGAATTTTTCATTAATATCAAAGCTTTGGAATTTCTTGGACTAATTAATTAATCTTCTAATATAAGATTATATGTTCTCTGATTTATAAATGTATACTAATTTCAATAGTGGATTATATTTTATAAATAAATGTTTTACTTTAAATGAATTTCGAATATTTAGAATATTATTTGGTTTATGATCAGAAGTATGTTTTCTTTAAATTCTTACGATTTTCTTCTGAAATTAAATATTTTTTAGGAAGAGCTATTAATAGTATCGGAGGTAGTGACCGTAAAAAGGTTTGTATATCACTTTATAAGACTTTTGTCTTTCCTTACATATCTTACAATGGAAAACTGGAAATTTTATGGTGTTAAACAAATTAATTATTAGAACAGAATTATGTGTTAGAAGATTTAAAATTGCTTTTGTATAAGTTCATATTTCCTTTTAAGATTTGTATTTTAACTTATTAATTCTTTTATATCACTTCCTGGGACATTTCCTAATTTCAAAATCTAACATCTAACAGAAACTCACCCATTATAGATAAAACGAGTCGCGAGGGACGTAAACACAATCTAATTTCACTGCCTTTATAAGGCGACACCTACTTTCACTTGACTGGTAAATAGCTGGGCCAAAAGAAATGTCCTTGTTCTGTCGTCCTGGTCCTCGTCCTCGTCCTCGTCCTTGCCGGATGGTTTCGCTGATGCTGCCGCTGCTGCTGCTGTTCGACTGCAAGCCGGAGTTCTTTTGGTCCTGTCAAAGGCGAGTAGGCCAGCTTTATAGCTGCTCTTTGCAGCACCTGAGGCCTGTCCGTGTGTGTGTGTGTGTGTGGGCCGGCTCATGGCAGCCAATCAGAGACGAGAGCCGAGTGCCGAGCAATGGACACGAAGTACTTTTGCCTAGAAGCATGCTGCGATATTTTCGGTGAACTGTTGTGCGTGGGCTTTGGGAGTCGCTTCGCGAAACGTCAAATTTAGCCAACGCGACCAGATTTATTTGCTCGCCCGCGGATGTGAATGAATTGCCATCATTGGTAGGCTCCAGAGTGCTCCACGAGTGCCACGTTACCTGCTGACGTAGTTGCCGAAATTGGAACGGACCCAGTGCACTCTGGCCCCAAAAAGTGCTTAGCACTTAATTGATCCACAATTCAATTGAATGATTCCCCAAACGATGCCCTTTGCGGACTCCCTTTTGACTGTCTTTTAGTTCGGTTTGAATATACAATTTATTTCTATTAGTTTGTCCCTTTTAGAGCTTTTATGGAATTGAAAAATTGAATGAAAATGTTGACATGATAATTAATATATGACTATTATAAAAATATAAATTTTAAGCGTTTTGAAAAGGGAATATATCGATTTAGATATCTTTTTGCATTGTGTTCAAACTCTGTTGTATTAAAAACATAATTATTATACTTTCTTAATAAAATATAAATAAATTGTTAAAATTTATTTGATAAACTCATGTATTTGGTAATGAATGTTTATTAGCCAAAAGTCGTATTAGCTTTTATATTCCTTAAATATTAACTTTAAGCTTGGTAACTTACTTTTTTATTAATTTTTCAATTAAAAAATATTGTGTTTGCCCTTTTTTTATAATTAGCAAAATTTTCCAGAATAGAAATATATTATATTCATTTAAAATGCTGTTCCTTCCCTTGCTCAGCAGTTGTTAAGTCAGGTTAAAATATATCAGCACCTCAGCTAAAATTGATTTTAATGCATTTCTAGATTGCATATATTCTATATTCTAAGGTTCAATTTCCGCTTTGATCAGCATTTGTTAAAAAATGATTGTTTCAAAAGGCTTGTTCTAAAATAGTTTATTTTCCTTTATTGTTATCTTTTAATTTCATATTTGTGCTTTCCCACTTGTTTCTTAACTTGTAAAATCAAGCCTTAAATATCACATAGATCGAGCAAATTGGTTTTTAGTTGGATTATATTTCAATAGCGCTACAAATTGATTCGCTAATGCGTTGTTTACAACAATTGCCACCTCCGCCCCCGATGCCATGTCCATCTGGTGTAATCTATCCGGTTGCATGCGATTGCTATAGTCTCGGGATTGGCCTGTTGCTACAGTGAATATATGTACATATATATACCCCTGATCCCCATACACCCGCACCCATGGGTTATCGCCAATACACGTATATCGCGCCAAAAACAAATTAGCCGATAACCAGCTGACGGTGCTCAACCGCTTGCCGATCAAAATATTTGACAACAAACACATTGAGTCCCGGCTCAGATCCCACAATTTTGATGAGATTGCCCATCGATGCTCATCTGTCATCTGGCTTCGGGGAAAGCTAGCTATCAATTGCATCTGGAAGCACTGGAAAACAAGCTTGAGTTTTGATTAATGATTTGCGAAAGGGGTGTGTGTGTGTGTAAGACCTAGGTTAGGATCATAGTTTGATTTTAAATTATATATTTAAGTTTATAAAGTAAAGAATGCATTTCAATTTTAAATTTGAAAAATTATAAAAGGGTAATTTTAAGAATACTTGTTGATGGGTTGTTAATAGATGATATCCTATTCTAGTTGACTTGTTTTTACTCATACATAGTTCCTAAAGTTATAATGTATTCTTAAAATATTACCAAATTATTTAATTCTATTTTTTGTTTATAAAATAATACAACATAATTAAAAGCTGAAAGTACAATTATTATTTGTTAGGTATTTGTTATTATGGAAATTTCCGGTTGCAAAATATATTGCCTACTTTTAGGATTCATTTTACTTAGATGTTTCGCTCAAAATCAAAAGCTATTAAAATAATTAAATTATATATTTGAATTTATATTTCATTATATATTGTAAGAATTTTATTCTCACTCATATTTCATATTTATATATTCAGAAAAAACGTTTACTTGGTTTATTATATTTATATTTAAACCCTTGTACGGTATTATTATTTTAGTCAAAAGCTCATAAAACTGTGAAGGAGTCATTTCCGCCGTGTAAATCATATATATTCTTGATCAGCATCAACAGCCGAGTTGATCTAGCGGTTTTAAGGGGTTACATCGGGAAAATTGACAAAAATTTTCGAAAAAATCTTAAGTTTTTAAATTTTTAATTTAGGTATCCAGATTTATTAACCTAATAAAAAATAACATGGGAAAGTTTCCCCTTTAAACTATAATTCATAGACAAAATTCTCTTTCGAAAATTCGCATGAGAATTTTGTATCATAGTAAAGATTGATATCCAATTCGATTTTATAATTTAAAACTCGATATAGTCCTCGGCTTCCCAAAATTAGTTAATTTTTTCTTGTACAAAACAAAGAACAGCACAATTTATGTTTTATTATTTAAAATTTATTAAATTGTTACATTTAGACCAGCTCTTGGCAAAACTAATTTGATCTCTGATATTCTGACACATATTCTAGCTTGATGATTGGACGGCTTGGCTTTCAATTGGCCTAAAAAACAAAACCAACAAAAGGTGGAAGAGTAAAACAAGGGCATTAACGGTTGAGATTCCCAATTGCAGAGAGATCTGTCTGGCTGAGTTTGGAAGTTGAAATGGGGTTTTGTTTGGTAGATAAGACAGTTGACAGCTTAGTGGAAGAGGCGGATGATAGACCAAAGACCCAGCAGGGAGCCAAGGATGGCGCTTACGCTGGTCATGGAGAGAGCACCGGCTCCATTGTGGGCAGTGCAGATGCGTGGCTGTGGGGCGGACACATATTTGCAGAGAGTGCCCACAAAGTTCACCTGGGCGCGGTCATTAACACTCTTCTCAAATTGCTGTAAGAATATAAAGAAATAATTAAAAATTTGTATTGTTTAGAGTAAATCCCTTAATGTAACCCCCTCTCACCTCGTTGAACAGAATGGTGGGCACGCTGGTCAATGGCTCCTTGAGCCGCTGGGTGGTCTCACCGGCCTTGCGGAGCAGGACACTGCCCTCGGTGGTGTTGGCACAAGTCTTGATGTTCTCCCAGTTGTTGATGTGATTCTCCTGAGCACAACGCTGGCCGGGATAGACATTGTCCGGGAAGTTCTTGCCGGCCTTCATCAGGCAGTTGATGAAGTCGATGGTCAGGGTCTCGCGCGTATACTCAACCTGGTAGGAGTTGGCCTGGATGTGTTCGATGGCACAGGCATGCACCTTGTTGCCATAGCACTCATTCGGGCCATGGTGGCAGGTGAAGGTCACCTCAGAGCCCTGGGTGAAGAACTGTCAAAAGAGAATGATGCAAATGAGCCATTGTCCAGCAGAAGGATTCATGAAGTAAGAAGAGTTCTCTGGTCTACACTCACCTGAGACTTTCCGAAAGGCACCAAGGTAAGGTCCACCACATCACGCAGCTCTCCCCTGACCGCCGGATACAGTTGCTCCGTAATGAACTTGGCACTGTCCGGGCACAAGGACTCGTAGTACACGGCAATGGGTACCTAAAGATTATTTTAAGATTAAAATATTATCAATTTAATTTCTACTTCAATATTTGTATTTTAATATAGTTTAAACTTAATTAAATTTCATCATTAGGTAAAAGAAATATTGCTTTATTTTTTGCGGTGCATAAAATTGCTGCAATTGTTCAAAGTCTGTTTTGAGTAGAATGCCTTCCGTAATTTGCATTTTTCGAGAGTGCACCCAAGCCGAGTCATGCACATCACATGCGGCTGAATGGACCGGGTCCAAATATTGTTACTCTTTGTTTATCAATTGGGGACAACAACTGCCACATGCTCCAGTTGATGAGCCAAAATATTGATGAACTTGAACCGGCATGCGTATGAGAGTGATAGATAAGGTAGATAAATAATATCAGAAGGTGATTCCAAATGTGCATTTAATAGGTTTTGATTACAGCAACAAAATAAACGTCTAAACCTATTAAGTGAATAATGAATGAGAAATAATAGAAAACAATCAACAAACATGAGCATGATTAATTAATTATTTGATCTTACTTTCTGCCACTTGGCTTTCAAAAGTTTACCATATTTCCGAATAAATGGGTTGTGTTTGTTAAATGACTCATATTTCCCCATTTAAATATTCCATGAACATGTGGTTTGGAATGAGATTATTTGTTTATACTCCCCAGAGAATAATAGTTTTCAACCCATTAAAAATAATGTCGATCTCAGCAGAGAATTCATTTCTGCTTAGTCTTCTACAAAGTACATTTTTCAACTCGATGCAGACCCATTTAATAAATCCCTAAACTAACTAAACTATATTAGATAAATATGTAATTAAACTTCATTTAAAGTTAATAAGCTGCATCAGGTTGAGGTGACTTTTAAATATTGAACAAAACTACAAATATTTATAATTTTCCGTCCTCCAACGGGCACTCATTTATAGCAAATTATTTGTAATTTCTGTTGATTATATTAACCCAAATAAAAACTGACTACACAGATGAATCTCCACAAATTGCTGTGAGCTTTAACCGATAAAGTAACTATTTATTCTAATATTTTTTTTCTTTACAATTCGTGACTGATGCGCAATAGGTTTTTTATAATTTAACAATGGAAAAAAATAACAGAAAAAAAAGAAAATAATCAGAAATGCTAACGAGTATATAAACCCACAAATGCAAATTGTTTTTATTTTATTTTTTTGCTGGAGTTGAACTTATATAAAGGCTGCTGAAGCACCGCTGAAAGAACCCACCGTTCTTAACAATCTGAACAACAACAGAAGCTTCAAGAGGTAAATATAGAGGTACACAGCAAGAAATATATAAATTTGAATTAATTAGCAGAGTAGCTTTTCAATTCCTTACTTATCAAAGGAATATTTGATAAATACTTAATAGAACAATTTTCTTTAAAAAGACGAATCAAAAATGATTAATTTTAGAGTATTTATAAAGAATTTTATACACCTATTTTATTTTGTTGTATAATTAAACTAAGGTGTTCAAATGCTACATTACTTTTTCAACTTCAACCCTATTATTGATTTATTTATTAAACAAAATCATATATGTAATATTAGAATTCTTGTCCTTAAATATGAAAATGTATATGATGTCCTAACTAACCGATTTTGCTAATATAAAACTTAATTACGAAAACAAAATTACACAACTTATTAATAAAGTTAGCTTAGTAATTAAGCTCTTAAAGCTCACAAAATGTGCAAATTTAAACAGAGTTAATATAAAATGTACTTTGGTTCCAATCTCAAGCCAAAGAAAAGGTCATTGTGAAAATTAACAAAATTTATTCTGTGTGTACTATGGAGTTGCAATTGGGATGCCGGCTCACCGCCGCTTGGCTGCTCTGTGAGAAATGGAAACTGGTCTCGGAACCGGTTTTGCCGGAGACCCAAACGAAAATAACAACAGAGCAGAGAAACAGGGCGCTCGGTGGCTTATTTACAGTGTCAATTATGTATGCTCTATGCTTTATGCTCTACGCTTTTCCGCTGCGGCATTTTCCAAGCTGGAGCGGGTCGTTCAACTCAGGAAATGCCACTTGTTGCTGCCACGAAAAGGGTGCAGCTTTTCTAAAGCGATTTTCGTCTATTATTCATTATTTTTCTTTGCGCCTTAAGCACGTCTTCACCTACATATATTATAAACTGCTATTTGGCGGCCCTGACACGCTTGCCTCGATTGTGTAATGATTTTTATTTAGCCCTGCCATTTTGCAGGTATATAATTTTTTGCCGGACAGACTCACCTTAGCAGCGCCATAGACTGCGGCAAACAGGCAGCTCATCAGAAGGCACACAGCGGAGATTTTGTGACTCATTTTCTGGCTTCTTGTTATTCTGGGAACTAATTATTCTTCCAATTTTTTATTCCTTCTGTGTTTGCTTTCCTGCGACTGTCGCGTTGTTAGCGGTCCGGTGTCTAAGCGCGAACTGTTTGCTGGGGAAAAAAGAGAGCTTGACGCTGTCGCTGAGCGCGGCGTCGAAACAAGAGCCAGAGCTGCATGCATAGTTTGGGCTGGGTTACGTTTCATCGTATACACATCGATAATATAAGCCCTCGATCGCCGATATTAAGAGGATATCTTACTATATCAGTTCTTTTCTTAAGGTACAACGCAAATTTTAATTGAATATGTATGTAAGAATTTAACAGATATATGGAAGGTAGAAACAAGTAGTTATTGGCATATACGAGCATGAAGTCTTTAACTTAAAAATTAAAGTATTAAATAAAATTACAAAGGTACATCTTTAAAGAAAAAGACCCAAAATGAATTTCTATTTGGAAATTGGAAGTCCTTATTCCATTTTCAAGCAGATTTTACACAAGCTATGATATAATTCACATTAAATTAGTAAATTAAAATAATAAACGTTATAAATCTAATGGAAATGGAATCAAGAAGAGGTTTACCAAAGGTTTACTTAACGTTTTAGGTACACCTTTGTATATTCCTAAAGGATGCTGTATATTTCAATTACAAGACTATAAATATTTAATTCTCTCTAATTTAATTAAATAAACTGCATTGCTATCAATTTCATCTAATTTTCTTAGCAACCAAAACCAAAACCGTAACATATTCGCATCTTACCAACTTTTGACACCTGGGAAAATCAACCCTTACATGTTTCACCTACTTATACATACAAAAAACACGGTCTTAAGTACATTTGCGTAACTTTTTATAAATAATGGAATTACAGATTAACATGCACAAGTCCTGGGGAGTTGGGAACCACCTTAGTCGCGAAACCGAAATCCCTTGGCGATCAAATCCTTGCGTGCCTCCAGTATCTCAGCCTGCAGCTCCTTGGCGGCCTCGGGGCAGTCGTTGAAGGTGAAAGTGCGATACAGGACTGTCCACGCAGAAAAGATCTGCGTTTGGATGATAATAGCAATGGTAATTAGTCAGAGGTCAGGTGTTATCTACATATTTCCATTAAACTTACGCCAAAAATCACGAGTAGCAGCAAGGGGAGCAGTTGAATGTGCAGGAAATACTTCGTGGTAAATGCCGTTTGCACCGTTCCCATGACAATGGCCAGATAGGGCACCGCAAAGAGCGAGGCGTAGAATAGCCAGCGTTGTAGGTTTGTCATTTTAAATATGATTCCAGAGGTAAATAAAACTAAATCTCAATTTAAGTAAATACACGTAAACAGACAAGTAGTGTGAACGTATGTGGGCCGGGTGAAATATACCACGATTCTGTAGAAAAAATACCAATATTAGGAGTGATGTAGCTGGGAGCTTTGCAGTGCTAGCAACATATTTTAATTTGAAAATTTTAATGAATTTGAAACTGAATAGAAATTGATATAAATATATTATAATATAATGAAACAAGAATATTTATCTTTAATGTTGATTTATTTTAATTCTAATTTAAGAACTCTTTGCCGTATTAGGCCGAATATCCACCTTAATCTGTAATTTTTCCCAATTAAGTTTTTAAATATTTTAAATTAGTCTTAATTAATTTTAAATTTAATCTGCTACTTTAGTAGGTGTCGTCTCAGTTACTCCCACTGTACAGGGCGTATTGGCAAGAAGGTCAGCCGTGCGGCAACCAACTATTTGGAACTTGACCTCGTTCTCCGGCAGAGCACCTCCCACAAAGAGTTTCGGCTCACTGCTCAGGGCCCAGAGCTCCTCCTCTCCCTGGGAATTCCGATTGATCTTAAGACCCGTGACGAACTTGATCTTATGCGGATTGTAGGCCACCACTCGGAGGTCATCCGCTGTATAATTGGAGCTCTCCTCCCACTTGATGAGTGCTCCCAGACTAATGAGGCTGCAGAAGAGATTTCCCGACTGATCCATTACCTCGGATTCGCATTGGATACCCCGAGTTCCAAGGATGCGGAAATGATCGTCAAGTAAAGAACTCACATTGGGCGTCTTCCATAAGGTTTCGTTGTTGATCACGCCCAGGGAAACTTTAACCTCATTGAAGGCATTCAGCGTGTGGAAGTACAGAAAACGATCGTCTTCTTCGCTGGGACTCAAGCTCACTGTGAATATTCCCGCCTGGGAGCTACCGGATCGAGCCAGTCCAACAAATGCCAAAGGTCTCATGGACTCGTGCTCTATGCGCCAGGATCTGCCGGTCAAGGAGTCAAATACAATGAGGCCATAACCCCAGGCATCGGCTATATAGGCCTTGCCGCCCACGCATCTATTGGGTGTGCCACTATCTGCCAGATCCACTACCAGGGCAGTAAAAATGGATACACTGGGAGTGTAGGTATTTGGAGGCAATGAGTGCCTTTGAATGAGTTCGTCCCTGACCAAGTCAAAGGTCAAAACCTGCGGCGGGCACAACTGCAGGGAATTGACCTGACCGGAGTCCACCACCCAGAGGCGCCAGCACTGGTCGATCTGTGAGTTAAGTATACAGGAAAATGTAACATTTTTAATTTTAAGTACCTCTAGAGAATTCTTGAACTTCCTTTATAACAAAACTGATACTCACATAAGTCCTGATGGCCGATGTAATGCCCGAGCAATTATTTGGAGGAACATGCCAATCTTTATTAGGATACGGCTCCAGTCTAGGATTCTCCACGACCTCGTTGTCATCTGATACCACGGTGGCCAGTGTGAAGGGTGTGGCCATTCCCAACCGAGGAATCGTAAGGAAGGTGCGATGCCTGCCCTCGTCTCCGTACTCAATATCCACGTCCACCGGCAGAAAACGATTGCCCAGAGACTGATCATCGCCCAGACTCAGGTTAGTCCATTGGTGGAGAGTGTGCAGCTCCTTAAGGGTCAACTTCTGGGCCTGCACAGCACAGAGCCAGCTGAGAAGGATCACGATCATGGCACCAAATAAGGATGTACAGCGCGATAGATCCATACTGTTCAAGTGACTGCCGAAGACTGAAGAGGTGAACAGGTAGGCGCGATAGAGGTGTTAGCCTGTGGTCCAGACTGCACTCAAAAAATTAAATCTTGGTCAAGAAGAATTAAAGTAGGAAAGGGTATGTTTACTGAATAGATATAGGATATATTTTAAAATAAAAAAATGTTTAAAAAGACTTCATTTCATTGCCTTTCCTGTTTACATACAAGAAATCTTTAATATCAATATCTTAAATTTACTTTATTCTACTCGATTGCAAAGCCTAACCATTTCTCCGAGTGTAATTGACCATCGGGCTCTTAGGCAAAGGTCGTGTACCTGTGGCGACCAAACAAACACTTTCGAATAGTTCAAAGATTTATGGATGGACATCTTTTATGGCCGCTTAAATGGTGTTTGCACTGCCCCAGCCAGCCTCTCAGTTCTCGAGGGTCTCTGGTCTAGTCTTTATAGACTCTCGGATATCGGTTCTAAAAGCAGCCCCGCCCCTGCAGCAGGTCGTCAACGTCGCAGCGTAAAACTCGATAATTGATCTCGGTATAGTCAATGGTTCCGGCAAATATCTTCTGCAGGCGATCCGAGAGCAGCCAGAGTTCCTCACGCCCATCGCTGGGCCTTCGTACGATCTTCATGCCGCTCACAAACTGCAGGGTATCCGGATTTAAGGCCAACAACCGGACATTTTCGCGTGTGTAGGGCCTGCGTATGTCCCAGCCAAAGATGCCGATGGGTTCCAGGAAGCCGCAAAACAAGAATCCCTGCCGGCTAATGACATGCGAAGCACACTGAACTCCCCGCCTGCCCAGAGTCACGAACTCGGATAGAGAGGCACTGAGGCCAGCCCTCCAATTCGTGGCATTATTGAGCACATCCAGGGGAATGGCCACCTCAAGGTCATTGGAGAGGGCATGAAAAACCAAGTGGCGTCGTAGTCCCAATCCCAGAGGAGTCACCGACAAGGCCAGGGGTCCATCGAGCAGCTCGAAGCTCTCACCTGCCACCGTATGGGTCCCAAATCTGGCATCTGGATAGGTGAACTTGTTCTCAATGCGCCACGACTGCTGACCCGTCACATCGTACACCACAATGGCCTTGCTGGTGGGATCGGCCAGGTAAGCAAACACATCCTTGCACTGACCTCCTGGCGGCGGATCCCGTATATCCGCGAATATGTTGACAAACCGGCTAACCTTCGCCTTGTATGAGGTTTCTGGCAGACGGTAGCGATGGATCAACTGATTGGTGGCCAAATCAATGACCACCACCTGGGGTGCACAGTGCTGCACAAACTCGATTTCTCCGCTGTCCAATATCCACATCTGTCCACAGGCATCGATGTGAACCCGATAGACGGAGGTAAGGCCATCGCAGTTGCCGCCATGGCTGCTGTGCCATTCGTAGCTGGGATAGGCCTGAAGCACTGTACCATTCTCCCCCTGGACATCTGTGATATAGGCCAAGGAATAGGGAACACCTTGACCAAAGCGTGGTGATGTCACAAAGAGACGAGGTCGGGCGCCATTAGCTGAAATGTTAAAGAATTGATCTTTAATTATTATCTCGATAAAAAACAGGAATTAAAAGTGAAACCGAGTGTTTGCAGAATGCCTTGAGATGAGCTCTGAATCTATATATTACCGTTAAAGAATCAAGATAATAAAACACATACTTAAGAGATCTCAAAATCAGAAAGCGATGTGCAAATTAACTAAAAAGTTGATTAATCCGATTACGAAAAAGAAAAGATTTTCGTCAAATCAGTGACTGTCAAGAAATTATCAATACAAATCACTAATTTGATGACTTTTCTTAAGATGTTTGTTTTGTGCTTACGTGGATAATATACATCAATATCGATGGGTATGGGACTGCCCGGATTATAGCGACCATTTCGCAGTACCTCCTGACGTTCTTTTTCACTCGGAAAACCATATTCAAGATTCTTCCATTCGTAAACTCTTTGCAGTTCCTTGTATTCCGAAGGAAACTTAAACTCGGGAGGATTATTCTTTGGGCAGTTAATATGATAGTGATACTGGGCCAGGCAAAGACTTTGTAAAGTTAACCATAATACAAAATGTAGAATAAGCCTGTAAACAAGTTCAGGTTAATCAAGGTAACCAGAAATAAATGTTATCTCACATTTTCAGGTTTTGTTTGTTCAATCGAGAGTGATCCTTACTCGAGGGCTCTTGCCATTATACTGAACCATCAGACGCCAAAAAAGCGTAAACATTGTGAAATAGCAAAAACAAAATACAATGGATGTATCACAACTGGTTTTTGAAATATATATTGTACAAGTCTGTTGTTTTTTCTCTTCTAGAGCTTCATCTCTTGGTATGTTATGCTCTTTCCGAGAGCTCTTTAAATGTGTGGATAAGTTGGTAATGATAAGGAGATGAACGGAACTAGTAAATAATATTATGAGTCATTTAATATTGATTTATATATAATTTCAAAATAATACATTAAAATTACAAGCTTATTACGTCATGATTACTATATTATTTGGACCCTGGAAAATAGTTAGTGTATCTTAGATTCTGAAAATTTTGTTAATTAATGGGATTAAACTATATACATAACTAAATAGAGTTCAAAAGCCACTAAAGTGTTGATTTAATGTATTGACATTGAAAAAAGCATTGACAGTTTTGTTATCAGCCTTATAAATATCCATTAGCTCATGAATAATCCAATGGGTGCTTCGGTTATTTGGTTCAACCAAATTTGGACTAATGATGATGGCAGTTTCCATGCAAATACAATTTGAGACAAAATTTAGGATAAAGTTTCACTATCACTTCAAGAGATATTATTAAGATAGTTGATTAAGAAATTAATATTGTATTTTGTATTATAAATATAGTAATTATTTATAACGAAATCTTAGTCATTCAAAATAGTTCAGCTGTTTTATAAATGTCAAAAGCTTGTGAAGGAGTCATTTCCGACCATATTCTTGATCAGCATCAACAGGCGAATCGATCTAACCGTATATAAAAAAAAAATTTTCAAAAAAATTTTCAAATTTTATAAGGGGTTACATTGTTAAAATTCCTTAAAAAAATGGAAAAAATTTTAATTTTTCCTAAGTTTCAAATAGAGTATGCAGATTTGTAAACTTTATAAAAACAAATATAAGGCAGCTTTCCAAATTAAAATTAATGCTTTTTTGGCTTAGTTATGAGTTCTTTAAGCCTTGATTTTTCGATAAAATTGTAATATAAAAATATTTAATTAAAGAATGCGAATATTATAAGCTTATAAAGAAAGTTTAACTTCTTGTTGTTAAAATGTAAATTAAATTCTTACTAAATTGTGCATTTTTTCAGCTAGATCTGTATTGAAAGAAAAACCTATATTCACAATTACAAAATTAATATAAAATAAACTGCAAAATGTCATAACAGTCATAACTATTATCAGCTTAATCGCTAACATAACTTCGAATCGCTAATAAATAAACCATTGAATGTTTATGGCCACAGTTGATTCGGTTTTAATATGCAAATTACTTTGATGAAGGCGCATGCCACTAAGAATTAAACCGCAAGCTAAGAAAAATGAAGAAATAAACACATTAAATGCAGAAAAAACTAGTTGGTCTGTCATTTCATGGCTCATTAATGTCACAGCCAAGAGTAGAGCAGCGTCGTAGGTAAGTTGGCTTAATTTGATTAATTAATCAAAAGGCATTTTGTCCATTGAGACATTCTGTCCGCCAGAGAGTGACGAAACTAAACGCGTTTTTATTGCACTTTCATAATGTACGAACGAAACTTAATTGATGCGATGGCTTAAACATTCGCTGCGAATGAGCGCCAAGTCATAAAATATTTATGGTTTCGAACTCGTCACTCACTGCTCTTTCTTATATCACGTTGATTTTAAAATAACAATATTGGGCATATAATTTTAATATTTAACGATCTGTAAGTATATATATAAACATCTCAACTGATATTAGAAAGTGATTCTCCGTTGGATGCGTTCAGCTTGTGATCGAAATAAAATTTCAAATCAATTAACAGAAAACACTTCCTTATTTCCAAATTGCTTTTTAATTAACGAAATTTGTTTGGAAAGGGAAGGAAGTACGTTTGTGTTTAAAAATATATTAAACTGATGCATATACAACTCCAATTCAACCAAGTTCTGCATTCGATATTTGAAAGTGAGTCAATTCAATTCAATACCTAATCGATTAACCAATTCCACCCGCTTGACTGCATGCAATAATCGAAATCAGGTATAACATACAAATATATCTGTCCACCTTGCCCCTGTACAATTTGTTTCGTGTTTCACCCATCAATTACTGTCCGAAGATACAGGAGATACTATCTAATTCCACCGACGCGTCGCGACGCCTGCCGGCGACCGGTTTAAGCCTCAAATTATTAATGGCATTTAAAAGTGAATATTGTTTGATGACCGAAACTGGTCGCTTAATTTGGACTTAGCCCCGTAATATTCTTCACACATTTTGGCTTAACCTTACCCCAGTTAACCATAAACTCAAGGAACACCAAACCAAAAGGTGTTAAAATAAAATAATGAAAAATAACGGATCCCCCAAAATTTAGCAAAACTTGAGCTGCCGGAAGCAGGAGTGCCAACTCTAGAGATATTGGCCAATCTGTGATACCCTGGTCCAGATATGGCTTCCTAAGGTGACCACACTAATCTGCAGCAGGTGGCAGACTCGTTTCGAAGTTGTAGCTGATGTGTTTGTTAATAAACTAAGCTGTGACACTGCCATTGATTGCATACAAATGGAAAAATAATCCACTATTAAGTGTCGCTGCAGATATTAAATTGTAATTAATTGCCTTGAAAGTAATAAATAGTTGGAATTATTGATCACATTTATCATACTTGGAAAGTTTCTTTAAAGAGAAGATTAGGTAAATAATAAATATGGCTGGCAGATGAAAATAATGTGTTTAGGAAATGTTTACTGGTAAGCCAGTGCTTCCCGAATCAGAGGTTAAATAATGGAATTTCCTTAGATATAACTCTGTGTTTGTATAAATAAAATAAATATATACATATATATTTTATACTAGCTGTACCCTGCCACGTTTCTCTGTGGCATATTATGGTTAAGAGGGCACTTCTGAATACATCAAGGTTCTGGCAAAATCATCTTTCTGGCATAAGGTAAAGAAGGCAGTCAGAGTTGTCGCTGGCGGATTCAGGACTCTTTCTTGCACATTTCTTTCTGTGAAATAGACACGTTGACCATTCTCCAAATGGACTGCCAAGTGAACTAAATCTGGATAGCGTTCATGAATGGGGAACGAAAAAATTCTCCATGCAGCCTCGTTGCTGCTTATGTATCTTCCAGCCTGGTATTGAGATATTTCATCGACAACTCGTACTGCATTGTTGTCACCATTTTCTGCCTGAACACCAAAAACTGCCATATCGCTGCCTTTATTCACGTACTTGCAGATATATTTAATCGATTTCACGGAATTGCAATATTCTACGTTGATGTGCGCTTTGTATGATTTTGACAATAGTGGTGAGTATGGAACCACCCAACAGACAATCAATATCACCAATTCTCATGTTTAAATTTGCCGAAGTCCCTCCATCTTCAGTTGACCGTCTGCCATACAGAGGATATCCATCGTCCCCTGTTACGGTGTTGGCTGTAAATGCTCGAGGATATCGCTTGGAACACTTCCCGTCTACCATTCATGCTGAACATGGGTTGAGGGTACCACAAGGGCCATGGATCATGTTCTTGATGACAACTTCATGCAAATCCGTATCAACCTCGGCCCGTGGAATCTCAGCGCATATAACATCGTCGATTTCATCTGGAGTAATTTTATCATACAGCCAAATCAGTATGTGCGCATGCGGCAATCCTCTCGTCTGCCATTCTACTGAATACATCCAGCACCGCACAGATCCAAAAACTCCATGTTTCCCAATGAAATCCATCAGTGACTTGAGCTTTTGTCTGAAAACACGGGCTGTGATGTCATGCCTATCCCTATACGATTGTCCAGGAAATAACAGCTGTACTATCTCGTCCCAAGCTGGATTGCATGTGAAGGTGATAAATACGTCTGGACGGCTGTGGCAACGAACATATGCCATGGCATCTTGAGCATATTCATGCATGTGGCGTGGACTACCTATGTATGAGGGTGGCAAAATCGTGAGCTTTCCAACGTTGGTTGTATTACGGTCATTCATCACAGCATCCCGCAAATGTATATATTCATCGGACCGAAGTTTCGTCTGATTCAATCGGAGGAACGTTCTGTTTCAATTTTGCATACATATCGACAATGTACTGATGAAACAACTGACGACATTTCAATATATGATTGCAATCGGTCCTCCGAACCATTAACCTGTATGAGTAAAAGTTCATCGCGTTGCACTTTTTATTCGTTTCGACACCATTGACTGGATCTACCATCTTCACATTGAAATGGTATCCATCGGCACCATCCCAGAAGATTAGTGGATACTGCAAAGCATCGTAACAACGGTGAGTTTCTGCGACGTTTAGCAATCGATCGTTTCGTCGATGGAGAATAATATCTCGAGGTTGGAACTGATCCCCGACGATGACAATTGCCACTTCGTCTATAGTTGGAGCATTATATCTCTTGATATGTTCTCCAGCAGGCGTTTTGTCTGCATGAATGACAATTTTATGGGTATCCGAAGGCATCATATCGATTGCTATTTTGAATAAAAGCACCAAATTGTTCCGTTCGTGAAAAAGCTTCTGTAGCTGCGAAATAATGTGCCTCTTCATTTAGGTATTGATTCCATAACGTGCATCTACTTCATTTCCATCATCACCAAGAAGAAGAAATTTGTGTTCGCTGTCTGGGAACGGAAGCAGGGAACCGGCTTTATGATAGATTTGTCCTTTGATTTTAAAAGTTGGCATGAATTGTGCAGTTATAATTTCCGCACCAAATGACGTCATTTGAAAGCAAGAGTTGTATTTCCTAATGTTCGACAGGAAATGCTTCGATTCTGCAGTAGATCCAGCGAATAGAGAGTGCAGGGGCTCTGGTGGTGCTTCAAGTTGAGGCAATTCCACTTTCCCGGAAGCGCAACACAATCCTTTTGGTTCGTTTTTGAATTTGAGAGCCTGACGGTATATGCAGACCTGATGCATTCGTCCAATAACGACATTCGATTCGAGCTGTAATCAATAGTTGGATTATATCTGAATGCAAGACGATTGTATTGCAGGTTTTGATCTTCTGCAAGCTGTAAACGCGCTTCAGCTACCCTTACCCCGTCGCGTTCATTATTTTGAGAGTGAATCAAATCGATTGCTGCAGAACGCGACTGCCTAACTCTCAATCGTTTTCTCTCAAGCCTATCTGCTCGTCTTTCTGCTGATTCCTCGTTACTTACTTACTTACTGAATCTGAACAAAAAAATAAAATTTTTTCTCCAATTCCTTATTTAAATTTTTTTTGAATGTTTGACATTAAATGCTTTGATTCAGCTGGCTGCCTGTAGAAGGCGCAGAAGTAGGGGCACGGGGAAACGCGAAAAAAGTGATATATTCGCAAATGCAGATAAGCTATCAACATTAAAAGTAGACAATAACCGAGCTGGAACCTCAACGCATGTTGTCTAAAAATTTGGGCTTAAACGGTTCAGAACTTTTCAACTTTCTTCTTTCAATATGTTTTGAATGTTTGACAGGAAATGCTTTGATTCAGCTGGCTGCCTGTAGAGGGCGCAGCAGTAGGGGCACAGGGAAACGCTAAAAAAATTGATATATTTGCAACCGCAGATAAACTATCAACATAAAAAGTAGTCAATAACCGAGCTGGAACCTCAACGCATGTTGTGTAAAAATTTGGGCTTAAACGGTTCAGAACTTTTCAAGTCTATGAAGGATGTAGACACGAACAGAGCATTTTTATATATATAGATTGCACTAATTTGCAAAAGTCGGCTTACATTCTTGTAATACAATAATATTGTAATGTTAGTGAATAGTTTTCACTCTTTCTCTTCCGCTCTCTCTCCCGCTCTCTCTCTCTCTCTATCATTTATTGTATGCCTATCTGTTTCCCTCTATCTCTCTTTGCTTCTCTAGAGACGTACCCCACTCTCTCTCTCTCTCTCGCTCTCACTTTCTCTGTTCTCTTTCCTCTGGGACTATAAATAGGAGCAATGCAGGCGCTCTGGCCTCATTCTGTGCGCGGCCGCCCCACTGTTAACATCTCTAAATAGTGATAGTGGTTGTGATAGTGATTACCCTTCGACCCCCAAATACCAATGAAATACATCTGCATAACCAGGATTGCATTTATTTTTCAATCGATTCCCTTATTGCCATGGACCCCATTACTTAATTTAAATTTAAATGACACTGCAATTTGTATTGATTGATTTAAAGTTAACAGCCTAACTTAAGTATTCTTATTTTTTACGAAAATTGATTTCTAGTCGCAAACTTTTGCTAAATTAGTACACCTTTGCAGAGTATTTTAAGTTCAGTCAGAAACTTCCAGCTCAGTGAAGGAGTTTCCAAGCAAACAAATCATAAATCACATATTCATGACATATGCTGTGGTGAGAGACGCTAAAATTCGTTTTGGGTTCATTGAAGATTTTAAACTGGAAATTAGTGTGAAAACACACAAAAATATTGAAAGAAATATATATTTTAAACTAAAACCTTAATATTCCAGACTTTCATTGATAAAAAACTATTTACAACTTTTAACAATATTTAAGGTAATCATTAATAAAAACTCAAAACACACTGAAAAAACAATATATTCTAACTTTGAAAAAAGGCAAGGGATTCTCGATTTGTATTATTTGAATTTGCAATTCGTCATCGATTCTTATTCTCTCAGTCAATTAATGACTCTTTTAGCTTAAATTGTCCGTGTAATTAAAGTCAATCAATATAATTGCAATATTTATTGTGGATCCGAATAAATACATACATATATGTATAAACACATATCAGTTGTGATTTCTGGGCTCAGAACAAATATTATTTAAGTAATATGCGGTGGACATTTATTTATTGTGCTCTTCTAGGAGTATTGTTTTCTGATTTTAGTGTACGTCATGAAGACCAATAACTGTATGTTATACTATATTAACGCCTCTTTTACAGTTTGCAGTAATTTTCAAATTTTCAAACTTTGTCTGCGAGACCTACAACAAATCGTGGTTCCAGTTTCACGAGTGTCGCTTGAAGGCCATATCTCGGGAAAAGGTGATCCTGAATATGAACGGAACTATTCTGCATTCCGTATATAATATCCAGACCGAAGGCAAGATGTTTAAAAGGGAAAGTGGCTTTAAACCATGGCTCCTAGAGTCTAAAATAGATGCGTGCCGTTTTATGCGAAAGAACTACAATCCTATAGCTAAATTAATCTTTGGTCTTTTCAAGGAATTTACCAATATCAACCACACGTGTCCTTACCTGGTAAATTTATCCTTCTTTTACTTTATGATATATACGATAAAAATTTCCTATTTTTTTACCAGGGTCCACAAACTGTTAGGGGATTTTATCTAAAGCCGGAACTATTGAAGCTTCCGTTTCCCAGTGGAGAATATATGTTATCATTGAGGTGGTTCTTTGACCAGAAATTACAATTTGACACCAATGTCAGTTTTTTGTTTGTCGAGGATATATTGAAAGCCTGAAATATCCAACCCAATTTGACAATTTTTTGCGACTGATACAGTTTGATTTAAGTTATGCTTTTGTTTTAATATCTGACGCGTCGAAATAGGTATGGGCTTGGTAAATAACGTCATTTTCAATAGTAATTATAAGAAGTACTTTTAACGTATTCAACGAACCACATAAATCATAATTTTAATATAAATGCTGCAGTTGAAATTCCAAATAATTGTCTTTATTCTTTATTTTATATAGCCCTTTAATTATACCGTTTATTTGACTTTTGAGTTTAAATCTGTGGCTACGTTTTAGTCCGGTTTCCAATACCATTTGACGTGCCTAAGAAAGATTCACTTTATGTGTAAAAAATAAAATATTAGGAACTTATATCTTTTGGTTATTCTCCCTACGCTTAAAACAAAAAAATACTTGCGTAAATGCGGTGCGTTTTAATTTGTTGTGCTCTTCTAGGAATATTTTATTCCAATTTCAGTGTAAGTCGTGGAATAACATTCAATAAAAGTTTAAATGATTAAAAGCTTTTTATAGAATGCAGTCACTTTCAAGTTTTCAAATGTTGTCTGCGAGAGCTACAACAAATCCTGGTTCCTGTTCCACGAGTGCCGCCTGAAAGCCATTGCTCGGGATAAGGTGGTCCTGAATATAAACGGAACTGTTTTGCATCCCGTAAATAATGTCCATATTGAAGGAAAGGTGTTCAAAAGAGAAAGTGGCTTCAAGCCATGGCTCGTAGACACTAAAGTAGATGCGTGCCGTTTTATGCGAAAAAACTACAACCCTGTAGCTAAAATAGTCTTTGGTCTTTTCAATGAATTTACAAATATCAACCACACATGCCCTTTTGTGGTGAGTTTTTCCCCATTAAATATATATTTAAAGAAATACTTATAAACATTGTATCTCTTTCCAGGGCCCACAAATTATAAGAGGATTTTATCTGAAACCTGCACTGTTGCTGAATCCGCTTCCCACTGGAGAATATATGTTATCCCTGAGGTGGCTCTTCGATCGGAAATTACAATTTGACACCAATGTTAGTTTTTTGTTTGTCGAGGATATAAGGAAAGCCTGAAGTATCTAACTCAAAATGACAACTTTTTTAGAGTGGCTGATGACAGTTTGATTTCAGTTTTGATTTTATATTAATATCGGAAACCTGAACTATTGCTGAACCCGTTTCCAAGTGGAGAATATATGATATCCCTAAAGGGGGTTCTTTGATAAATAACTAAAGTCTTTCATCAATGTTAGATCTTGTTTGTCGAGTACTTAAAGAAAGCTTGAAACATCAACGAATCAAATAAATTGTATTTTTAACTTGTAGTTGGAGTTTTTAATAATTGATAATGTAATAAAAGCTATATACGTTTTATGGCCCTAAAATTCTTTCGTTTAGTTAATTTTTTTAACAGCTGTGACTACGACATAATTATGTGTACAATTTACAAGTGAATTAAGCAAAAAATAAGCTAACACTTAATGGCAATATAATTACATTTTAGTTGTGCTTCTAAATCAATTAGACCTTTATATATTTTCGTTTTCTACTTTTTGTGGTCAGAACAAATAATTGTTGTCTTAGCAGTGTTTTTATCAAATTTAAGTGTAAGTCCTAGAATATTTGGTAAAATTAAGCTAAAGGTTAAGATTTTTTTTTGACAGTATGCAGTAATTTTCAAGTTCTCGAATGTTGTCTGCGTGAGCTACAATCATTCCTGGTTTCAGTACCATGAGTGTCGTCTGAAGGCCATATCGCGGAATAAAGTGATCTTGAATATCAACGGAACTGTTCTCCATTCTGTAAATAATGTATTTGTTGACGCCAATCTATATAAAAGGGAAAGTGGATACAAGCCGTGGCTCTTAAAGGGTGTAGTTGATTGCTGTCGTTTTATGAGAAAGAATTATAACCCAGCAGCAAAGATACTGTTTGGTCTCTTTAAGGAATTTACCAATATTAACCACACATGTCCTTATGTGGTAAGATTATCCTACATTTCTTCTCTAAATATAAGATAATGCTTTATACTCATTTCAGGGACCGCAAATTTTAAGAGGATTTTATCTGAGACCTGAACTATTGCTACTTCCGTTTCCGAGTGGAGAATATATGCTATCATTAAGGTGGTTTTTCGATCAGAAATTACAATTTGACACCAATGTTAGTTTTTTGTTTGTCGAGGACATAAAGAAAGCCTGAAATATCTAGCCCTGACTGACCATTTTGTAGAGTTAATAAGTCGTTTTGCCAGTTTGTTTTAAGTTGTAGCTGTCATTATTTAATAATTATAAAAAGGGATTGGGTTGGTAAACAACTTATTTTATAACAGTTATTATAAACTAATTATCTTTAAACCATTCAGCGAACCAAATAAACCTTATTTTAACATATATATATAGCCTCTAAATTTTTCCGTTTAGTTGAAATTGTGCAAGAACTCTGACTACGATATAGTTATGTTTACAATATAAAAGTGAATTAAGCGGAAAATCAGCAAACACTTAATTGCAATATATGTAATTGCATTTTAGTTGTGCTTCCTACTCAATGACATATGTGTTTCTAGACCTTTATATATATTCATTTCTATTTTTCATTTGTCAGGACAGATTATAGGGACATAATATGCGGTGGACATTTATTTATTACATTCTACTAGCTGTGTTTTTATCAAATTTCAGTGTAAGTCATGAAATAATTACTTAAATTATGGTGTACGTTAAAATCTATTTTACAGAATGCAGTAATTTTCAAGTTTTCAAATGTTGTCTGCGAAAGCTACAACAAATCCTGGTTCCTGTTTCACGAGTGCCGCCTGAAGGCCGTATCTCGGGAAAAGGTGGTTCTTAATATAAACGGAACTGTTTTGCATTCCGTAAATAATGTCCATACTGAAGGAAAGGTGTTCAAAAGAGAAAGTGGCTTCAAGCCATGGCTCATAGAGTCTAAAGTAGATGCGTGCCGTTTTATGCGAAAGAACTACAACCCTGTAGCTAAATTAGTCTTTGGTCTTTTCAAGGAATTTACAAATATCAATCACACATGCCCTTTTGTGGTGAGTTCATTCTCCGTTTAATATATAACATGAAATGCATTGTATCTTTTTCCAGGGCCCTCAAATTGTAAGAGGATTTTATCTGAGACCTGAACTTTTGCTACTTCCGTTTCCAAGTGGAGAATATATGTTATCCCTGAGATGGCTCTTCGATCAGAAATTACAATTTGACACCAATGTTAGTTTTTTGTTTATCGAGGATATAAAGAAAGCCTGAAGTTTCTAACCCAAAATGACAACTTTGTAGAGTGGCTGATGACAGTTTGATTTAAGTTTTGAATTTATAATAATATCTGAATATGAAGTGGTTCGTTATCCTCCTTTTCATATATTAAATAAATACCAATAATCTTTTCTCTTTTTCAGGTCCTACAAATTGTTAAAGTATTTTATCTGAAACCTGATTTATTGCTGAACCCGTTTCCAAGTGGAGAATATATGATATCCCTAAAGGGGGTTCTTTGATAAATAACTAAAGTCTGACATAAATGTTAGTTTTTTGTTTGTCGAGGACATACAGAAAGACTGAAATATCTAACCCTGACTGACCATTTTTTAGACTAAATAAGTCGTTTTGCCAGTTTGTTTTAAGTTGTAGCTGTCATTATTATATAATTATAAAAGGGGATTGGGTTGGTAAATAACTTAATTTATAAAAGTTATAATAAACTAATTATCTTTAAACCATTCAGCGAACCAAATAAACCTTATTTTAACATATGTATATAGCCTCCAAATTCTTCCGTTTAGTTGAAATTGTGCAAGAGCTGACTACGATATAGTTGTGTTTACAATTTAAAAGTGAATAAAGCAGAAAATCAGCAAACACTTAATTGCAATATCAATGACATATGTGTTTCTAGAACTCAGTTCTATTTTTCATTTGTAAGGACAGATAATAGGGACATAATATGCGGTGGACATTTATTTATTACATTCTACTAGCTGCGTTTTTATCAAATTTAAGTGTAAGTCATGAAATAATTACTAAAATTATGGTGTACGTTAAAATCTATTTTACAGAATGCAGTCATTTTCAAGTTTTCAAATGTTGTCTGCGAAAGCTACAACAAATCCTGGTTCCTGTTTCACGAGTGCCGTCTAAAAGCCATTGCTCGGGAAAAGGTGATCCTTAATATAAACGGAACTGTTTTGCATCCCGTATATAATGTCCTTACTAAAGGCAAGATGTTTAAAAGGGAAAGTGGCTTTAAGCCGTGGCTCATGGATTCCGAAATAGATTCGTGCCGTTTTATGCGAAAGAACTACAACCCTGTAGCTAAAATAGTCTTTGGTCTTTTGAAGGAATTCACAAATATCAACCACACCTGCCCTTTTGTGGTGAGTTTATTCTCCATTTAATATATAACATAAAATGCATTGTATCTTTTTCCAGGGCCCACAAATTGTAAGAGGGTTTTATCTGAGACCTGAACTATTGCTGCTCCCGTTTCCGAGTGGAGAATTTATGTTATCCCTGAGATGGTTCTTCAATCAGAAATTACAATTTGACACCAATGTTAGTTTTTTGTTTGTCGAGGATATAAAGAAAGCCTGATATATCTAAACCCAATTGACCATTTTTTAGAGTTAATGAAGCGCACTGTGGTTTATGCCAGTTTGTTTTAAATTCGGTCATTATACTAATTTCTTACACGTGGAAATGGGTATTAGATTGGTAAATAGCTTAATTTCTAATAAATAATTATACATAGAATAATTACTTTAAAACTAATTAGCTAACCAAATACCTTTCTATTTTTAGTGCAAAATATGCGATTGGAGTTTCAATTAATTGCTTAAAGAAAATAAGCTATATAGCCCCCAACTTTTCCATTTAGTTGACTTCCGGGTTAGATCGTGTGAATACGTTTTAATAACAAGTACAATTTGCAACTGAATTAAGCAAAAAACACTTTGTTGCAATATAGTTTCTTTTATTCTCTTTTTTATGTGGTCAGAAGAAATAATAGTTACATAATGCGTTGGACTTTTTTTCGTTGCGCTTTACTTGGCGCGTTTTTATCAAATTTAAGTGTAAGTCCTGGAATAACTGACAGAATTAAGCTAAGGGAATAAATTTGTGTTACGGGATGTAAAAATTTTCAAGTTTTCGAATGTTGCCTGCGTGAGCTACAATTATTCCTGGTTCCAGTACCACGAGTCTCGTCTAAAGGCCATATCGCGAGATAAAGTGATCATGAATATCAACGGAACTGTTTTCCATTCTGTAAATAATGTATTTCTTGACATCAAACTTTATAAAAGGGAAAGTGGATACAAGCCGTGGCTCATAAAAGCTGTAGTGGATTGCTGTCGTTTTATGAGAAAGGATTATAACCCAGCAGCTAAGATACTATTTGGTCTCTTTAAGGAATTTACCAATATCAACCACAACTGTCCTTTTGTGGCGAGTTTATTATACTTTTAAACCTTAAACTAAAGATAATGGTTTATTTTCTTATTAGGGACCACAAGTTCTCAAAGAATTTTATCTGAAACATGAACTATTGTTGCTTCCGTTTCCAAGTGGAGAATATATGTTATCCCTGAGGTGGTTCTTCGATAAAAAACTTCAATTTGACACCAATGTTAGTTTTGTGTATGTTGAGGACATTTAAAAAGCCTGAAATATTTAAAACAATGGAGTATAACTGTCATTAATTTAATTTGTGTTTAACGTGGAAATATGAATTTGATTGGTAGAGAACTTAGTTTCGAATAGTATATATAAACCATTCAACTAAACTTTAATTTTAACATAATAGTTGCATTTGAAGGTCCAAAAAATTGCTTATATAATATAAGCTATATAAGTCTCTTAACTCTTCCGTTTATTTGACTTTTGAGTTTGAATCTGTGACAACGCTTAACCTTTACCTGTCTTTTTATTTGGAAAGTTTCACGTTAAATATATAAAAAAAAAAACAAAAACAAAATAAATTACGTATCAATACGAAAAAAGCTAATTATAAAAAAAAAATAATCAATCGCAGAGCATTTATTGTGTGCAAGCCGTAATGGAAATATAATTACATTTTGCTCAGTTTCTAAATCAATTTTGGTATTCATATAGAGTCACTTATATATCTTTAGGTTCTTCTCTCTGTCCTCAGAACAAATAATAGTGGCGTAATATGCGGTGCAAATTAATTTGTTGTGCTTTTGTTGGACTACTTTTATTAAATTTCAGTGTAAGTTATGGAATAACATTTTAAAAAGATCCAATGCCTAAAACTGTTTAACAGAATGCAATCGTTTTCAAATTCTCAAACTTTGTCTGCGAGAGCTACAACAAATCCTGGTTCCTGTTTCACGAGTGCCGACTGAAAGCCGTATCTCGGGAAAAGGTGGTCTTAAACATGAACGGAACTCTTCTGCATCCCGTATATAATGTCCTAACTAAAGGCAAGATGTTTAAAAGGGAAAGTGGCTTTAAACCATGGCTCCTGGAGACTAAAGTAGATGCGTGCCGTTTTATGCGAAAGAACTACGATCCTATTGCTAAAATAGTCTATGGTTTTTTCAAGGAATTTACCAATATCAACCACACCTGCCCGTTTGTGGTAAGGTTATTCATTAAATTTCATATATGTATTAAAAAAATACATATACATTGTATTTTTTCCAGGGTCCACAAATTGTTAAAGGATTTTATCTGAAACCTGAACTATTGGCGCTTCCGTTTCCAACTGGAGAATATTTGCTATCATTAAGGTGGCTATTTGATCAAAAATTACAATTTGACACCAATGTTAGTTTTTTGTTTGTCGAGGACATAAAGAAAGCCTGATTCATAATTTTTTAAAGTATTAAAATTCAGTGTGATAGTGTCGTAATTTCTTTTCACCGTGGAAATAGGGTTTGGATTGGTAGAGAACTTAGTTTTTTAATGTTATTATAAACTAATTATATTTGAAACCATTCAACGAACCATATAAATTTTTATTTTCATTTAAAATATGTATTCGGAGTTCCAAATAATTGCGTATATAATATAAGCTAATTATCTAAATCCCTTTTATTATAGTTGTTATTTGTATTAAAGTTGCCTTGAAATAATCAATGGAAGATTTATAAAAGTATTATATGCTATTAAAAGAACAATATGGCTATTTATCCCATGCAATAGTTTTTTAATTTTATCTTTAATTCGATTAAATTTTTCTACCGTTTCCTACTTGTGAAAATATATGATCACTGTAAGAAGGTTCCATGACGACATGCTCTTGAATTGAGCATACTAAAGCTCAAAATTAAAATTCTTTCCTTTTTCAATCAAAAACACTCAATTGTTTCTTTAAATTAATTTAATCAATATACATTTATGGAGATTTATTTACATCGGCTGCTCTTCGCATTGCGTATACGCAGCGTGAACACTAGTTAAGAGCCATTTCTACTGATGTCCCGCCGATCTCGTGGCCCGCTGATAGTAGTACCCACTGTGTCGGGTTGTGTAGGCAGTGGGTGGCAATGAAACCACCCTTGTTGTGGCTCCTGGAGCGGTTGTACCCACCAGGGTGTCCAGGTACGATCTCTGGTAGTTGTCCCTCGTGGCCTTGCTGGGCGGAAAGGCCTCGCCCTGGTTGAGGGCCGTAAAAGGATTGCGGGCGGAATAATTGACAATCCCACCGGTTTCAAACTTAAAGGGCGTCTTGGTGGTGAAGGGCGTGGTCAGGCCTGGACTGGTGAAGTAGGTTTGCAGAGCATTCGTCGAGGTCTGGGCATGGGTATTGTAGACACCATAGTTCAGCAGACTATTGTGCGTGGGAGGAGCGGGCAGGGCAACGCGATGGCCCAGCAAGGAGTTCCCGGAGGCCAGTTCCAGCCGAACAATACGATTGTTAAACTCACTGGGATTTAGGTTCTTCAGGAAGAATCGATGGAACTTTGATGAGATGGCATAGATCACGCCCGGCTCCGATCTGGTAGTGGTTATATCGGCCACAAACTGCAACTGATCCTTATCGTAGGCCAGCACGGATTGCTGATTGGTTGTTGGATTCCAAGAGGCAATAGCAGTTTCACTCAACGGACTGAAGATCAGGCTGCTGTCGAACGGCGACACCGAGAGTCCAATGCCCTGGGAGCTCTTCTTGCCCACCAGTTTCACATCCAGCATTTTGTTATCGGGGAGAGGACCAGCACGCAGGACATTTTTGTGTACGGAAAAGACTCTGGAGAGAAGAAACAGCTTATTGCAATATAATATAATTAATTTCTTCTGGCGCTGACATACCTATCCGTGGCCAAAGGTTGGAAGTAGACCACACCAGTGCGTTCATCAAAAGTCAGTCCAACTACACCGTCCATTAGGACAAAGCGATGCTCGTGAATCTCCGACTGGGCAAAATCCGGATCGGGATACATGGCCGGGTGCGACACCCGCCAAGTTACATCCTTTCCGCTGTCGTACACTATGATGCCCGGCTCCACGGTGTCCGTGATGTAGACGAACACATCATCGCAGCCCTTGGCCGTGGTCTCATCGATCACCATATTGGTAAACAGAGACTCACCGCGCAGGACCTCTGGCGGAAAATCAATTCTGCGCACCACACGATCCGTGGCCAGGTCTACCACCAGGATCTTTGGCGGACAGGTGATCTCAAAGTCCTCGAGGGAACGTGAAACTCCAGCATCCAGCAGCCAAATGCGATTGCATGAGTCCACGCGCAGGCGGTAAACCGAGGTCAGGATAAGATCACTGCAGTTGAAGTCACTGCGACCGGTGTTGGAGAAGGACCAATCGGGAAAGGCCTGCAGGGTGGGGGAGTCCCCGAACTGCGCCTTGGGCACCCAACTCACCGTGGAGGATACGCCCGAGAAGAGCTTCGGCGTGGCCACAAAGATGCGATCGTCCGTTACAGCCACTCCCGTGATCAAAACATTTTGGGGACTAAAGAAATTGGGATCGGTGATCGGTGCCTGGGGCTGGAAATTATATCGCAGGAGCTTCCACTGCTTGGCCACCTGCAGGCCAGGAGTCAGAGCCTGACTCGCTTCCAGCCAAAGGAGCGCACAAGTCACTCCAACGAGGATTCGGAACATGGCAAGCAAGGGGGAATCTGTAAAGTAAGGAACACAAAGCTGGAATTACTTGATGCTGTTGCAGTCACACCCAGATCAGAACTTTAACTGCCTCCACTTGGCGATTGGCAGTCGCTTATCTATCATTTCTATTTCCGGCCTTTTTCCGGACAATCAGCACCCGAGGAAATCGACAACGGAGATTTTCCCAACATTAAAAACGCAGCTTTAAATAGTTTTGATTATTGGGAATAATCTAAAGGCTGATCACACCGAAATAAAATCGTGTAATTTAATTAAATATTATGTATATATTTATTATATTTTAATTTGAAATTATTAATATTTTAAATTTCGAAACAAAAACTATATCTTTTTAAGTTAACTGATGTTGTTTTTGAGCTTTTGTATAGCGTTTATAAGTAAAGGAAATTTTCTAATAATTTTCTATAATATTTTTATGAGTATTTAACTGAATTTTAGTCCAATCAGAAAAGCACACAAGACCCTGGGAATCGTGATATTGCATGAATTAATCCCGACCGATTAGCAAGTCGTATTTCATTAAATTGCAGACGATTCATTTCTAATTGGCTATTTATAATCTGCATACAATACTCTAGCTTACTCTGTAGGATTCCCAGGCAGTTCCATAGATCAAAAGTGGTACCAATAACATTTAATGGCCCCGTAGAGATATTAAACAAAAGCCCTTTCTAACTAGATATGTTACAGCTGTTACAGATTGCATGGAAATGTACCAATTCCGGTGCCAAGGGGCCGGTATGCGGATTGCAGAGTGCAGAAAACCGAGCTGGGCTTGGCGATTGTATGCAAATGAGTTTGGGTCAGTTCAGGCGTCAAACCGAGTGCACCGATTGAAGTATCCGTATCCATCAGATACCTGAGCTTGCATCTGCATCTGGTGCCTGGCTGTTACAGCGTGCGACTGGAATGACGTATGTGTGTGCTTTAATTTCTCACGCCAATGGTATCCCAGTCACGAACTAAATACTAAATAGAGTTGCAGAATTTTCCACTGCAAAAAAATAGCTGGAAAAGGGCTGCAAATAGGTGGCAGAAAAGTGCCAGAAACTAGCTTCAACTTTTATTTGTTCTATATAACAATTTTAATAGCAGTCTTTTATATTTATTATTTCTTTTTCCATTATGTCTTAGTGTACCTGTAACACACATGGGTCTTCTAATTACTGAGCGAGCTTTGCAATTGTCGAGTAACAAGGAACTGACAGTTTGATTTGCTGCCCACTGGTTTAAGCTAAATTCAAATGGTCAGACATTTGAATATTTCTTTTTTATTTTTATTTTTTGAAAATGTGGGCAGTAGTGTCTAATTCCGTTTAAATCACATACTATTACTATTTACGATTTGCTATTTTTGTGGCGACCAAACTCCTAGACTCGTTTGGGCCTGGCAAATTGCAGACAGACATGGCATGAAACTTTCATTGGCGCGTGCCGTTAAAGATAATTGAATTTTTGTAATTTTCCAGCAACCATGCCAGCAGCACACTGCCATTTGATGAATTGTGTTAACAAAAAAAATGAGTTAAAAGTCAAGGCTGATCCCGGTGCCACACGCATCCGAGAGATTTATTTCTGCGTATCTCTGCACTTTACATAACACTTGTGCAACTCGAAGCGGAAACCCAAACTACTTCCCAACGAAAAAAATGAAGAGTGAGCTCCATAAAAAAAGTACAGAAAAATGCAAAGAAAAGCCGCCAGACTTTTTGTCACAAATATCGGACTCGAAGGGCGGCAAGCGGAACAAAACCATTTAAAAAAAAGTTTACAAGTCAAAAGTTACAAGCCGCAAAACCACTAAGCCACTTGTCTTTTTTTGTGAACATGATATTATTATGTTTTCTTTCATGTTTTTATGTTTTTTGTTTGTGGTAATGTTTGAATCTCGCTTGATAGCCTTTCATGTTGATGGCCCATGGCAGGCCAATGAAATTTCGCTTAATTTTCGTTTAATTTGTATATTCAATTTGAGCACGAAGCGGTTCGAAAGCGCATGCCGAACACGGCTCCACTGCACGATAGAAACCTCACAGGAAAATTATTAAATACCGGTATTTGAGGTTAACCTTTTCAACAGTGATTTGGTTTCGGTTTTCGGTTTCAACAGGCAGGTTCGATCACTTATTATATTCTTGTTAATGTTCTCTTTAAATGCCGAGATATCGAAAAGTTTATTTAAAACATTTAAACAATAGGCATTCACAGATTTCAAAGATATAAAAGTTAATGTAAACCTTTTAAATATTTAAATAAAATGCATATACAAAGTTAAAGAAAAAGTCTCCAAATGTTTCTCAGCTTATTTACTTTCTCAATGACTTAAATAAGATATATTTCTTCATTAAAACTTCAAAAAGGAAAACCCAATTATTAACTACCATTTTTTCTATCAATCTTTTGCTTATTAACTTTATAACAATGACTTCATTTTCTTTATATTTCTGCAGGCATTTCAAACATAAATCTTGGCAAGACAATTGAGTTAACAAAAGGAAATATATTACATTGTGGACCACATCTAAGACAGGTCATTTATTAATAGGTCCCTTTGAGATATGCCCAGTGCCAGCTGTGATGTGATGCAATATCATGGACAGACGCTAGAGGCCAATTAAGAAAAATAACTTCAACCTAGTTGCACTAACTAGTACTACATACTAGTGCTGCTACATGACGCTGTTAACATGAATCCAAGAGATTGTTTATATTGCCTTATCTGAATCTGTTTTGCACCTTGTCAGCCAGCGTGTTCTCACGCGTTTCATGAATCAAATAAAGAATGCGAGCAAAAATGTTCCACAATTGAGTTGTAGTATTATTCCAATCTTATTATTATAATAATTATTTGAATTGAGTATTTTTAGAGTTCCCATAAAAGCACAGCGGAAGACACTGTTTGTTGAAGGTTGATTAACACCTGCTTGTAAATTTCGTGATTTATTTGCAGGCACAGCTTCCTTAAATCCAAAATACCGCAAACTTGCAAACCATAAATCCCGTCTGAAAAGTCACGTTGACTGGTTGGCTGCACTTTTTGGCTGCTATCGATTTTAATTGGTACCAAAAATACAATGCCAAATGCGTTTGCCAAACTAAACCTAATTAACACAGTTCCGTTCTCCGACTTTAAGCGGCTTCTTTTTGGCCACACAAAAACACACACACTGGCACACGCGATCGTCGCATTTGGCTAATAATTCACAGAAATGTGCAACCGCAAAAGCGCAGCGTACCCTTGGCTGCGATGGCTATAACGCTATTGATTTGCCAATTAAATCGATGGGCATATGTATGTAAACATGTTTTCGGTATCAAGAATTCAAACGGTCGGTGAGAGTGGCATTGGCAACGCCTCGAAATCGAAACTGAAGCGGATCGAAACGGCGGGCATTATAACTAAATGCATGGCAATTTGCACTTTAACCGTTAGAAACCGCACTTTGCGACGTGCCGCGTTCGTTGCCTAAGTCTTTTGTTTTTGCTTCGTATTTTTCGTATTTTTTCGTATTTTTTGTTTTTGTATTTTCTTTATTTTTCTTGTAGCAGGCAAGCCAATTTGCTGCTTTTCATCTGGCATTAGCTTACTCTTGTAATACACTTTTTCGGTGGCTGCAGCTGCTGCTGTTTCAAATTCACTTTCTACGCCGATCGCGCGACACGTCTGAGCGTTTCGGTTGCCGTTTTGCGACTGCGCTCCGCTTGCCAGGCGCACCGAATTTTATAAGAGTGTGTTGTGTGTTTCTAAGACAAAACTTGACTGAGACTGAGACTCCTGCTTGCTCGGGACATTGCTCATACGCTCCGTTGGCTTCCGCACATTTGCATTATGGCTCAGCCCCAGCAATTGTTGTAATTCAGTTGTTATTTTTACAAGCAGCAATTGCGTTGGGGTTTCCTCTCTTTACAAGTTCATTATCACTATAACTTGCCAGCAGCAAGTGCCAATAAATAAGTCCAATTGATTTTATTTTCACATTTTCGGTAATTCATTGGTATTTCGGTATTTATATCGAGCGGCTGTTTTGTCAATGGATGTTGTTGAGTCCATTGTACTGGGCGATACCCGATGATAAGGTAAACAGAAAGTGATAAATTAAATATACTCAGGAGCGGGGCAATTAAAATGCCACAACCTGTTCCAAAGGTCTGTATTGTATTGAAGATTTGTTTTTGCGAATATGTAAAGAGCATACTGTATTTAAATTTTTAGTAATTGCCGAGTCAAACTTAAGATTTATATAGCGCCTTGTGTTGATTATAATAATTATTCATATTTGCCATATTATCTTTAGTTTTAATTCCCTTTTTCTGCTTTGCTAGCAAACTCTGACTGGATTTTCAATTGAAACTGAACTGGATTCGAGTTTCATAACATGGTTTGGTCGGTTTGGTCAGGAACACATTTACATTTGACCAATATATCGGAGTCAGTGAAAGCCCACAGGCCCGAGGAGCCGGCTCTTTTGAGGGACCAACTTGTTTGCTCCCAATTGAAAATGGAAAGCAATCCCAGCAATTTGAATTTTTTTTTCTCCAATTGAAAAACCAAAAATGTTCTCTGCTGCTGCTTAGCTAAGGTAACCCAAAAAAAAAAGAAAAAACGTGAAAAGACCCACTTAAAAGGGGTTATGCAAAAAAGGTGACTGCAGCCGCTGCTGTTGGATCGAAACTGGTTTGCTGGCAGAATTAGCCAAGTTAGCATTAACTGCCTCACTTCGGTATTTGTTTTGCATTGTGACACACGAAGTGTGTTGTTTACTGCCTCCCCAAATATCCCCATTTTGGGGCGCATTTGTGCGTGGATGAGTGAGACCAGGGGCATTATCACCCGATGATTACTCTAATTAGCAAATGTAAGCTCACTGCCCCCGTGGTGTGGGCCAAGCCCCATATGGCGACATTCACTTTGTTATTGGCACTCTTTCTTCTTAATTGCGGCATTTTGTTGTTTAGCTTTTCGGAGAATACTTACGGCGACCAAAGTTAATACCGAATTACGATCTAAATAAGCACTTATGTGGTACCGGTTCTAAAGTCGATCGCCAGTTCAAGGCTGTGCCGCCAATGTCAGCCAATATAGTCAGGTAAAAAATATATGATATAACCACGTAATTGGAGCAGGCCGTGTCCTATGTTACGACATGTGAGCCGGGCGGAAACGTAGGTGTTTTTTTTTTGGTGCCTGCCCCGAGGCGACTCGGAGCTATCAAAACTATCACAGCACAACAGTTGTGTGTTTCCTTTCACAACAACGCCCTGGACCGATGCTCATTAGCTTGGCTCAGCTTAACCATTTCGAAAGTAACCAATCTGCGGGGAAACAAAATCTGTGGCAGGTCTTTTTGCCGGCCACTCGCTCCATATGATTCGGTGACGATCAACACTTGAAGATTAATAGCCGCAACGTCTTGCACTGACACTACATTGTGCACATAGAGAAATATGATACAGAAATAGAGAAATATTATAATATGATAATAAAATACTTTAAATATTTCATATACTTTGTATTAAATAATACAAATATATGAATATTAGAATGTTCCTTAAGGTACAATTGAATTTTTTGTACTAAGAAAGTTGAGGAGATTCATGCAATTAAAGATTATTCAAATCGTGGAAGTATTCAAATTAATTTTATTAAACCGGTCAGTTTTTGTGCATTTTTTCCCTCTATGTATCTTAAGGCTATAATCACATATCTCCTCTTATTGTTACCATTACGAAATGAACTTTAAATATGCTTTGAATTGCTGTCTTCTGGACAGCCAGTCCGCTGGCATTCTCCGAATGCCTTGTCATCGTCTTGGTACTGGCGGTCGACGTGCAATTGCTTCATTTGCGCATTCTGTGCGCACAAATGGGAGTTTAATTAAATCAAAATCAAAATCAAACGGCGGAGGCGAACTCTTGTCGCCCCGTTGACAGTTTCATTAACGGCTCTGTCAGCGCGACACAAGGTCTTGACAAATTCGCTAAACATTTATTTTTTGGTAAACATTTCGAGCATTTTTGGGACCCTTTAGTGCCAGGCATTCTAAGTGCCGGATCTTAATCAACTAATATCGCGATCAGCACTCGGTTTTTAAGCGCTTTTAATGGCCCTCTTAAAGTGCCTGGCTTTTGGTTTTCCATAAATGCGGACCATTAGACCAATTAGGCCAATGTGGCTTGAAGGCTCCACCTCCGCAGAAGGTGTGCCAACAGCCGGTTTCCCACAGATACAGATATAGATGCAGATACATGGCCACAATGGTATTATTGTCTGACTTCACATGGCGCTCACTTTCGTTTTCCGTCGATTTGTGGATACCACCACCGGATTATCAATATCCTCCAATGATAGTCGAGTACCAGTACTCACCGGTCTGCCCTGTTTGCGGTCGGAGAGTTATTATTATTCGACGGTTTGCTCAATAAATCAATCTTAGAGTTGGGAGTATATACGGCCACTAGTTACCCCACAAATAAATATTCAGATATGAGTATTTCTATTCTCTTGACGAAGGTCAGCATCATGCCAAAAGTGCGGCTGCTGCAACTGACTCTGACTTTGACGCCTGTGGCCAATGCGAGGTAATTCAGACTTAACTGAACTGATATAGTGCACACAAAAAAAGTATATAGTATTTATATATATTTCAAAGAATATAGTTCTTATTGTTTTTTTGCTCACAAAAAGAGCGAACCACTTTGGCAATATGTTAAACTGAGATTGAGCATACAGGGTAAAAAAAGATTCGATTCGATATAAAAAGTAATGTTAGTTAAATCGATATTTATGTAATTTATTCATCATTAAATTAATTAAAAACACACTTTTCATTAATTAATATTGATTTATTTTATATGGATTTTTTAATTATTATTATATATATTTGAAAGAAGCAGTTTTATCTATCTGTTTTACAGATTGAAAATATACAATTATTTTTTTAATGAGTTTTAAAATCTATTTCTATTATACAATTTTTTGTTATACAATTTCCATATTATTTTTATTTTATTATATAGTTTATTAGTTTCTGTGTAGACAGAGGGCCAAAAGCCGAGTACATTGGACACTGCATGCTGGCTTTGTTTTCAAACGTCAAGCTAATAAATTGCCCGAAATGCAGGCTTGTGGCATAACGAAATCCGAATACCTTTTTTCAAGTGAGTCATTGAATATATGTTTCTAAGCTGTGGGCAGAAACATAAATAATGGCTTAATGTTGGGGTAAGTAAGTTGAAAGAATCATTTTTAAATAGGTCACTAAACCAGTTAGTGATTTATTCCTTACCTAAACTTAATTCCCAAAGAAAATTCAATAAAATAATCATAGTTTTCAATCTCTGTAGTGTATAAAAATAATAATACATTTGTCCATTTGTATTAATCAATAATCTATATACAAAACGCGAGTAAATTCTTGTGAGCTTCGGCAAAAACATATTTTAACAAATTACCATACCGACTGATCAAGTGATTTTTCGTTTCTTTTTTTTTTGCGATTCAATAATTTAATTTCAAATATTTAAGAACATATAAGTGAGAGCGAGAACCCAGACATAACAAAAACAATCAGCTTTTGGTATGACTCGCCGAGTAAATGTATTTCGAATATCTAACATACTTAACATATTTTGTAGCTCATGACCAAAGAACCCAAAACTGGCTTTATTTTTTAGCGCCCAAATGAATAAAAATAACAAAATCAAACTTGAATAATTGTCTGATTTGAAAATTAATCAATCGATTTTAAATTAATACCTTTAGTTGTACAACAATCCTACCTTAATTAATCCCAGATTAACTAATTCGATTTAAATATAAGAATTTATGTGTTTTTTTTACAAGGTAATAATGGTGGTTAATGGTTAGTTTAATCTCAGCTAATAAAAGTTTGTGAGCACCTCTATACTAGATGTAAAGTGTGCCATTTACGCAATGAAGCAACGTTAAAAGAGTGAATTTATGAAATCTGTGTCCGATTTGCAATTTGTTAGACTCTAAATCAGTAGCCCAATAACAAATTTTTCGATTGCATATAGCTTGGTAATATTTTTCCTTTATTTTTCTTGTATTTTTTTTTTATGGACACACGCGCTTTATTCAATTTGCTTACTTCTCTTTCACATTCAGAGCTGTGTTATTTATGAGCTGAAAATGTCAGGCCTTGCTGGTCGCATAGCTTCAGTTTTAATGTCAAATGGGTAAAACTCCAGCAAGCCATGGGAATAAATGGTCTCGCTTCGCTTTACTCTTGAAAATATATAAAAGTTTATAAGAGATGAATCGAAATCAAATCATTAAATTAAATATCAAACAGATACTAAATACAATAAAGATCGAAGCTATTGAAGAGTTTATGAAGTTTGCAAACAATAAGTGCTTACAACAAAAACTCTCATATAAAAACGCTCAAATATATTCCATATTAAGCATAAAAATAGTCAAAGTGTTAACACTGGAACTGGAGCAACTGGAGTTATGAGGCCGTGGAAGAGGCAGATTGGGGAGATTGCCGATAAGACTTGTCGCAATTCAATTGGAGCGTCAACGCTCATGACGTGACCATAAAAAAAAGACCTGGCCTAAACAAACAAAAAAACACGACACTGATGGGGCGGGAAAAAATTCAGAGACGAGGGCCATATCGAGCCAAAGATTGAAAAATTAACATAATTGCAGTAATAATAATGGGGCTTGTCCCTAGGGGCGGCGAGTGCGTTTCCCGCCCCAATGGGTCTGGGGCGTGTCCGCTGGGCGTGGCCCACGTTTACTTCAATCGCTTGCGGCATGTCCACACCTGCGTATCGTTTTGTGGCAACCTTGCTGCTGCTCCATGGACTGCAGCTGGCCCTCAAGGTCCATGGCTTTGGGCTGAATCTGATGAAGGTACAAGGCGAGGATCGTGGCCAAGGAGCCTGTATCCTGGCCCTGCTACGCAAGTACTTTGACTCCGGGGATGGACTTTCGGGATCAGTGCTTTGCTTCACACGCAACTATCAGATGCACAACATCCAGGATCAGCTGCTGAGGGACATTAACTCATATGCAGATTATCCTTGGACTATTCTGGTCACTAATTCACGGGATAGCGCTAATGCAGCGGAGTTTCTAATGCACGAGAAGCCGCAGTGCTATTTTCTCATAGTGGAGAATCTAGACGATGAAGACCTAGACGAACTCTTTGAGCACTGGAAGAGCATGGTCAATTGGAATCCCCTGGCTCAGTTTGTGGTCTACCTGGCTGCCATTGAGGAAACGGATGAGGAGATGACGGATCTGATGGTGGAATTGCTTCTTACCTTTATGAACAAAAAGATTTTCAATGTGAATGTGATTGGGCAGAGCGAGGAGAATGAGTTCTTCTATGGGAAAACTGTGTTTCCCTATCATCCGGATAATAATTGTGGAAATCGGGTGATATCTGTGGAACTACTGGATGCCTGTGATTATACAGGTGATGACAAAGGGGAAGTAGAGCAAGAGGATGAAGATTACGACGAGGCTGAAGGGGATGAAGGTGGAGACCAGGAAGTCACTGAAGATGAGGGAAATACAAATGCCACGGAAAGTACTGAACAGAGCAAGGAGGAGTCATCTAGGGATTATGAAAGTCCAGGTGGGAACGATGATTATACTCAAAATAAAATTGAAAGTGAGGAAAATATTCTTGAACATGATAACGGGAAAGGTGATGTTACCAAGGAAGATGCTAACGATTATGAAGGACATGAAATTGATCCATCTCCAAGTGAAGAAGTTGAAGATACAGATTCCCAAAACCAAGATAATTATGAAGAAACAGAAATATATCAACGATCTCATAAATATTCCATTAAATCTTTTGCTGAAAGCAGTGAAAATCTAATTGAAACCACAACTGAAGTAACCAACGTTGATCAAATTGAGACTACAACTGAGGCTGACCCCGAAGTATTTAGTTCCACAGAGACAAATAATGAGAATACAACTGACAAATCCTCACAGGATGACACTGATCAATCTTCTCAGGAGCATACAAATGAAGACAGCCTTGAGAAGATTATGAAAACCAACTTGTCAGAGCCAGAGGCCATCATAGAGGAGTTTTATCGCGCCAAGTTCGAAGACAAATTCCCCAAAGATCTCAGTGGATGTCCTTTAACAGCCGCCTTTCGTCCTTGGGAGCCGTATATTTTTCGCAACAGTGAAGATGAGCCTCCGGAAGATTACTATTATGGCCTGCGAGGAGATGGCGATGATTACAATGAGACATCTAGCTATGGCGAGTCAGAGGACGAATTTGATGCGGATCCTGAAGTAGAAGACGAAGTCGAGGATACCGAGACTGAGTCGAGTGCAAACATTAAGCTGAGTGGCATCGAGTTCCAAATGGTACAGACCATTGCCGAGAGGCTGCATGTAAATATCGAAATGCAGGGAGAAAACGGCAACTTGTATCATCTTTTTCAGCAGTTAATCGATGGGTGAATATTATAGAACATTTATATATTACTTAATTGTCATGCTAAATTATATTTCCTTAGGGAAATTGAGATGATTGTGGGTGGCATAGATGAGGATCCCAGCATCAGCCAGTTTGTATCCAGTTCCATACCCTATCACCAGGACGAACTCACTTGGTGTGTGGCCAAGGCAAAACGCAGGCATGGATTCTTTAATTTTGTGGCCACATTTAATGCGGATGCAGGTTTCCTGATCGGACTATTTGTAATCACATGCTCGCTGGTAGTGCTGGTGGCCCAACGCGTTTCCGGTTTCCGGCTGCGTAATCTCAGTGGATATTTTCCTATTTGTCTTAGAGTTTTGGGCATCCTGCTCAATCAGGCCATTCCCCTTCAGGATTTCCCCTGACATTGAGGCAACTATTTGCTCTGTCCTTTCTAATGGGTTTTTTCTTTAGCAACACGTATCAGAGTTTCCTGATCAGCACACTGACCACTCCACGTAGTTCCCATCAGATTAAGACGCTGGAGGAGATCTACAGCAATCGAATGATCGTAATGGGAACCTCCGAGAATGTTCGCCACCTTAACAAAGATGGGGAGGTGAGTAACTAGTAGTATTCCTAGCTTTATGATATTTAATCATTTGGTTTTAGATCTTCAAGTACATTCGCGAAAAGTTCCAAATGTGTTATAACCTGGTGGAGTGCCTCAATAATGCCGCCCATAATGAACACATTGCCGTAGCCGTATCCCGGCAGCATTCCTTTTATAATCCACGCATTCAACGTGACCGTCTCTATTGCTTCGACCGACGGGAATCCCTGTATGTGTATCTTGTGACAATGCTGCTGCCCAAGAAGTATCATCTTCTGCACCAGATCAACCCGGTGATCCAACACATTATCGAGTCGGGACACATGCAAAAGTGGGCCAGAGATCTGGACATGCGTCGCATGATCCACGAGGAGATCAATCGGGTGCGGGAGGATCCCTTCAAGGCTTTAACCTTTGATCAGTTTCGTGGCGCCATAGCCTTCTCTTCCGGACTTCTTCTAGTGGCCAGCTGTGTCTTTGGTCTAGAATGGTTGTATCTCCTTTATGTCCATCGCAAAAGAATGAAAAGAATGGCCAAGAAAAAAATATCTAAAAAACAGAACATCAAGTTAAGATCACAAATCAAGCGTACAGGTTAATTAAATAAATATTACATTCAAAATTTTAGACTTTTAAATTTAACTAAAGCCTCTTCATGATTACTATCTTGCTTAATCGTTATGCTTCACAAATAAAAAAAAAAAATATATATATATACGTACATATATTACACTCAAAATTTAGACAAATCCAGCGAGTCTTAATCAAGTGTTTTAAATTTAGAATTCTAATATGAAGGGGCTTTAAACGCATTTAAATAAAATATATCAATGTTAATGTTAATGTTATTCAATTTTTAAAGCTTTTATTAAAGTCAACTTGGTTTTGTTCTGTTTTTTGTGTATAATTGTTTTTCAATTATTTATTTTGCCACATATAAGTATAGGTTCGGCTGTGTGTTGTAACACACACATTGAATAATATTCATTAAATACAAATTAAATACTAAATATGTCGAAATTTAGCTTCAGCATATTCATAAATATATGCTTTATATATATTAATATTTCTTGGCACAATATTTGATTTAAAAATACGAGGTAAACCGTGGAATGCAGTCTACGTTCCTGCTGCTGCACAGAAAACAAAAATGAATATATATTTTTATACAAAAATTTAATCTATATGTTAAACCTTTGATAAATTATATAAAATAAATGCAAAGTTAAAGTACATATTTTATAATGTCTTGGAAAAGGTATATTTAATCCTTAATCGTGGATATCTAAGCTTACTCTTATTCGGATTTAAGGATTAAATATATGTAAAAATTAGGGAAAAATTCCCCAAAAACTATGTTCTCAGTGTATAGTGCTCAAAATCCGTATCCGAACTCATTATGGCGACTGCGACTGCTGGCTGCTTGTCAGGGAAGCAAACAGGCGCGCACGCCGCCAACGTCAAGCTGTCGTCGGCATTCGGCTCCGTCGCTTGGCGCATCCTTAAAAGGTGGTGGCGGTGGCTCGGCCCAATGCTCCGATGTGGCCTGCACCCGGCGGCGGCTGCTCCTCCACTCTGGTCCGGCCTGAAGTGGTGCCTCCACTTCTGCCCCCCCAAAAAACAGAATCTAGTGGCTGGTTTATATGTAAAATATTTTTATAAATAATATTTTCGGGCAGCACATTTGTTGCAGTATCATCAAATTGGCAGATTTCTGCTGCTGCCGGCCAACACAATTCAATCAGCTGCTGGCCAGCTAATGTGGGCCGAAACGAAATGTCCGAAATACACAAGCGATAACATAATATATATACATATATAAGCATCAGTTGTATTTCTATATTGTTGCCGGCCAGCAGAAGCGTTGTGGTAGACTGACTGCTGAATGAATGGCACCCAACAAGGCGTTGTGAAAATGTTTGCCGATTACTCAGCTGATAGTGGGGAAAAATAGAGTGAATGAACGATCGCATATATGTATATATCTATGGGACATTATAAATAATTTATTGGATACTAGGAGGTCTAAGAAAGCGTCATCTTTCAGATATATCAAGAAATGTCGAATGGATTCTAAATTGAAGAAGAACGATGGTCCTTGAAAAATACTCTTCAAAAGAAAATCTTGTCCTATTTTAAACTTGGTGTAGAAGGGTCAAAAATGTTTATTTTTCGTAAACAAATATTGGTTAGATTAAAAACTATAAACATACAAAGAGTTCTTTAAATATTATCTTAAATTCTTGATATAATTTTCTTAGCAAGGTTTCCAAATTAGCCCTATTTAGAAATCTACATTTCCTCACCTGCGATAACTGGCCAATCGCATACTTATCTAAATTTAAAAAAATATATACGCACTTCGTGAGTTTTGTATTAAAAATAGAATTCCATACTCTAGATACGTTTCTGCGCGTAAGCGTCAAAGAATCTCTTGCAAAAACGTGAGAGAGCACGGTTTTCATTATATTTATTTTCCATTTTTCCCTTCGACTTTTCCCGCCCACCCACTCACGCACTCTCTTGGAAATATCTTTTGTGAGTATTGTGTAAACAACAGCGAATGTTTTCATTTTTGTTATTATTTTTAAAAATTCCCATAGCACCATATAAGTCAATTAAGAGTTTTGATCATTAACCGAATGGCTTTTAATGATCTCGTTCGTGATTAATGGGAGTGTGCCAAAAAGAAAAACGAAAAGCAATAGTTTGTGGCATATTTAATTGATTTTAGTTTTTCGGCCAAAACCGACAATCTGGCAAATCTATAAATGCACCGCGCGCTCTATTAACAATTTTCGGTTTGCGTTTATGGCTTTTGGATCCCTAACCAGAGCACACACCCACCCAGGAAAGCGGCCCACACCCAGCAAATTATGAGCGAGAGTATATAGTTTTGGTTTTGTTTTGAAATTCTTATTTCTAATTGCGAGTGCGTTCTCATCAGCGGCGAGAGATTTCCATCCCAACCATGTATGGATTGGACCAACGTGCAAATGTTGATTAAAAATTAGACAAAACAAAAAAGCCAACATGGCACCGATACAGCTTCAGCAACAGATACGGATACAGACACAGTTGCAGATAGAGATACAGATACAATAGCATATGGAGAGCGAATGCTACGCCTACGATGCGGGATGCTCCGATCCGGAGGATATATCCACATGTCGCTGTATCTGTGGGTGAGCAATCTCGCTGATGTTTACCCTGGCGCTCAGCATCGTCTGCTTCTCAGCGAATGCACTGAGAAAATATTTAAAACCCATGCCTACAAGCTAATTTTAATATAATAAAGTATTTGTATAAGAATATAATAGCAGTAATTAATAGTAGCGCCATCTATAAAGCACATTTATATTCTGATTATAATTCATTAATTATTAAGGATTTCTATCTATTTATCTATTAATCTATCTATCTATCTGTCTATCGATCTATCTTTCTATCTGTCTTTCTATCTAACTTTCTATCTATCCATCTATCTATCTATCTATCTATCTATCTATCTATATATCTGTCTATCTATCTTTCTATCTATCTTTCTATCTATCTATCTATCTTTCTATATATCTATCTATCTACCTAATTATTTATCTATCTATCTAT